CAGTCAAGCAGTGGCCAGAGGGACTGAGGAAACAGCTCAATGGGCACAGTGATTTCTGTGCAAGTGTGAGGACCTGGGTTCAGATCCCCAGAACCCACATAAATCTGATGCACTATGTATCTGTAATCCCAGCACTCCTAAATTGAGTTGGGAGGTAGAGGTGGGAGAATTCCAGTAAGATCATAGGTCAGCTATCCTACTATACAGAGAAGAGAACAAGAAACCCTCCCTACAGGAGATGGTTTAGGACTGACATCTGAGATTGTCCTCTGAGCATTACACACACACACACACACAATGAATGCATGCACATGAAAGCACACGCACATGCACACACACACGCACCCATGAATGCATGCACACGAAAGCACACACACACTCACACACATTCACACGCATGCGCGCATGCAGGCACATGCACATATGTACTCTAAAAGGCAGTAATAAAGACGCTGAGGAAAAGCAGGTCTTGTGATGTAATTTATATGGTCCTGCTGTAGGAGCCTCCTCACCTTCCTGGGAGGCCCTGAGGAGAATGCTTGTCCCGGCCTGCCTTCTCCCACCACTCCTCTCCCCTGCAGGCTTAGCTCAGTCTGCTGCTGAGCCTTACTTCTGGACACACATGCCCCAGGACTGTTGCCAGGATGTTTTTGGCTCCTTGACAACCCTTTCCTGTTTTGGAAGCTAAAAAGTGACGTTTAAAAAGCCAGAGAGGTTTTGCTGAAAAAACAAGATTCCACTGACTGAAAAGGAGTAATTTCTCATTGGCAGGGGTATGATACATCACCCTGTGGCTCTGTCCCCTGTATTCAGACTGACTGGCCGTGCCCCTCCCTTTCTGACCCAGCATCACCCAAATTGTCTGTGGCTGTCCCTGTACTTTACTCATGTATCAGAAACTATGAAACTGTCCACAGGTGTCAGGTGTCAAGTCCTGACACACTTCAAATGAGCAGGGAAGACAGCCAGAGAGCTCTGAAAGCCACTGTTCCTCCTGGCCAGTGAAAGGGACTCGCCAGAATTTATTTTCATCCCAAATGTCCAGCTCCAGGCTAAAAATAAGCCAAATAGTTAAAACAAAAACCTGACTTTACAGTGAGTGTGATGGTGAGGTGGTCTCAGGTTCCTTTAAAAACAGGCCTCTAGGAGACTGGGGAGGGGGCAACTCAAGAACTCAAGGGCTTGGTAGGACAGAGACCCTGGAGACCCTGTGCACATCTGACCAGGCAGGGTCCCCAGGGTAACAGCTTCTGCAGAGACCTGGGAGGGAGAGGAGTCATCTAGGAAGTATGCCTTAGAGTGATGGGCAGAAAGGTGTCCTTATTAGCGCCTTATGTTGTTGAATATTACTTTAGCTGTGCAAAGGTGTGTTACATTCGTTTATGCTTACTTGTTTAATCGTGTAAGGGTTATTACATCTCTTTGTGCTGCATTTCTTTAATTGTGTAAAGATGTGTTGCATTTGTTTCTCCTACGGCACCTGATTGGTCTAATAAAAAGCTGACTGGCCAATAGCTAGGCAGAAGAGGGACAGGTGAGACTGGTGAGCATTGAGAACAGACAGGAGAAGTCTAGGGACAAGAGGAGAGAAGAGAACGAAGGAGAAAGAGATGCCGGGCACCTGCCAGCCAGCAGCAGACACAGAGTAGGATGCACAGAAAGAACGGTGAAAAACATCGACGCAAAATGTGGGTGAAGAGAAACAGGTCAAGTTATAAGAGCCAGTGGGGCAAGCATAAGACAAGACTGAACATTCATAACTAATAAGAAGTCTCTGTGTCATGATTTGGGAGCTGTTTGGTAGCCCAAAATAAAAAGCCTGGGGACACCCTTGCCAGTCACTGAGGGCAGAGGGGGCTCACACAGAGAGGCATGGTGAATGCTTCTTTTCAAGGCCAAGTTCCCACATGTCTGTCATAGGCCAGGAACCCTTCCAGGCCGTGTTAATTTCTGAGATCAAGGACCATTGTAGTTTGGATATAATTTAAGTATGTCCTCCTAGACTTCATAGGTTGTAAGCTTAGTCCCAGTGTGGTAATGTCAAAAAGGAACAGGACCTTTAAGGCCTAGTGGTAGTTGGAATAGCTTAGAAGTGTCATAATATGACAAATTTCTAATAATAAAGATCTCTTATGGGGTTAAAATGTGTTTTGGGGACCCTAACAGTTTAGGTTGGCCTCGTCTTCATTGATCCATATTTTTCTTCAAATAGTTTAAATTTCATTTGCATTTTTCTTTTAAAGAATACACTGCCTGGGGAAGCTGGCTGGTAGTAATAAGATCTGCTTGTGTGCCCATGTCATTCTTAAGTTTGCATGACGAGGTGGAGCCCGAGGCAGCAGACATGATACGTGGCATGTCAGCCATGCGGCCAACTAGCTCTGACCTTATGTGAGTCATATAACCTGCTTGGATCCTCCCTTCAGTGGTGGTGATCTACATCCCACAGTAGCTCAGAGATTGCCTAGCTAATAGAGGTACCCACAAGCACAATCAGGCACTTCACTATGAACCAGGTTACCTGACAGCACAGCTAGGCATCTGAGTAATGCCTGATGCTATTATCATTAATGATGAAGGTTTGAGACATTTTGCAGCGCTTGTGAACTTATCTGAAATGCACTAAGACCTGGGTGTTCCATAAAAAAACATGTCAGAAGCACTCTTCAATGTGGGTAAAGAATTTTTTTGACAAAAGACATTTCATACTGACTTGAAAAGACAAGGACTCTGCATTTGTTCTAATCTGGGGTAAATCAACCCAAAAGACAGACTGAATTAAATGACTAACAACACAATTTTTCTTTTCTTTTTTTTTTTTTTCTGAAACCACATTTTATGTTTTAAAATAGGACTAATTATAATCTGATATCAATTGAGTTGGCAGTAAAAAGAAAAAAAATCACATTTCTATTCGTATATTTATATTAGGTTCAAATCCCACATTCTAACATTCAAGATAGCCTTCACACAAGCCTAAATCTGGATTATTTCAAAATCAAAGTCCACAGTTATTCCAAGTCACTAAAATATACTAATAAAGTTAAATTTGATGGTTTTTTTACATTAAAAATAAAATATTTGGTTTACGTTTCAGATATCTCTAACATATAATAAATAGTGGGCAGTATAGTAATATACTATACCCTGAAATTTGATGCATTTTCTTAAAAAATTCATAATATACTTCATTTCAACCTTAAAGCACAATATCCATGGACAAATCTGTAGAAATAAAACAATATAAACACAAAATGCTACAGTATTTTTCTTTCATTCTTTTTCTTTTTTTACTTTTGTGGAAACTACATGTCCTTATAGTAAAAGCGAGAGAAATTTACAGAAAATATTTAACAAACAAAACAATTTCAAACCATCAATGCTAGATTTAAATTGCCTTGTTCCTTCCACCTCCTACGGCCCTTTCCCCACCGTGTTGCGGGCACTGCATTTGGGGAAGGATAGCTGATCTCTCTCTCTGTCTTCTTTGCCTACGTACAGCAGCAATTACAGACATGGCTGAAATCACAGTGGATTCCAGAGAAAGCCAGAATTAAACACGATAAAAAATTTTAAAAATAACTACTTCATAAATATTTATTATTTACAGTCAGGGGAAATCGTTCTTAGTATCAAGAGTTTTATACAAGTTGATAAATGTACACGTGGCAGCGAGAAGAGGCTCCAGAAGTTTACAGAAGAGCAGGATTAGAACACAACCAAATTATAAAATAAAGGAAAATAATTTGCACGGAGGTGAACAGGACATGATAGAAACCTTTTTCTTAAAAAAATATAAGGTATCTCACAAAAGCCTGAACATTTTACATGTTAGTAATAAAAGTGGGGTCAGGTGGGGGAGTTTCATATATTCTCATCACAAAAATATTTACCAGTCCTCTGACTGGGGCGTTCTTTCCTTATGATTATCTCTGTGAGGGAGGGGGCTTGGAAACTATACCTAATGATGCATCCTTCAATTACAATCAAGGCATTTGTACATTACCTTCTCATCTAACAGCGTAATAAAAGGTCCTGGAGAGAAGAAAGGAAATCAAGAGGGAAGATGTGTGGTGTCTTTATTAATACTTGTCACTGGTAATAGGCAGATGGAGGTGCTAACCCTCAGGCCACGCCTCCACTGGGGTTTCTCTTCAGTCACACGCCATGGGAGCTCAGGCCCATGTGTTTCAGAAGGGAGCATCTCCAGCGATGGCACATTCTTGTCCTTGCCCCTCCGGGATGTGCTGTCCACAGGGCCTGGGGGAGACAGGATGGCAGAACCGGCCCAGCCCCAACCGGCGCGGGGCATCAGTCCTGCCCACGCTGACGTCAGTGTGCACGGTGCTTCCTCTTCTTGGGCTTCTTGTCTTTCTTTATCTTGGCACATTTGGAGCAGAACCACTGCATTCCTTCTAGAGGAGCAGCCATTAATCCCACGCAGGGCCAGTGGTACCAATTATCACAGCCATCACAGCCGATCATAGGACTCCCGTCACCAGGCTTGTTCACCCTGGACAGATCCAGATTTGATTGCCCCGCTCATCCTGGATCACGTAAGTGCTGACCGTCTCTGTCACCACGCTCTGCACTAGGGCTTTGGCACGCCCCACTCCAGAGAGGGCAGGGGCTGGGGATGGCATCAAGGCTGGGCACATTGCAGCCTGGGTGAGGAGTGGTGTGGGACAACACAATTTTTCAAACGAACCTATATATATTGTTAGCAATACCAGCAGTTTATGTTCTGCATATTAGACTGTTTGTCTTTGCAATGCTAGGGTTGGATCACTCTATCACCAAGCCCTGCCCTTGGACACTAAACTTGTATCAGACTTATGACTTGGAAATAGTTCCTTCCTGTTGGTGGATTATATTTTCACTCTTCTTGGATAATCACAAATTCAGTCTTTGATAAAAACTCTGCTTTCATAGACATCTGTACCTTCAGCTTGACAATTTAGTGTTTTGAAGACAATAATTCAAACTTAGATATAACAATATTCTGTATAAAATTTATTTTATTGTTTTACATACAATAAGATTAGTAGATATTTCTTTGAAAATATAATTTGAACACAAAAAAATGCGACCTAAGTTCTAACCAGTCCATTTCTTTTGGTTCTATTATTTGAGCCAAATTATCACGGGAGACCATGGGTCCAGTGGGTGTGGGAGCCATGGCCACTGTCAGGCTGAGTTCTTTCTTATTTCTCCCAAGAAGTCATAGGTCTGCTCTGAAAGGTCAAATGGTTCATGAACCCCGTCTGGTGAAAGCAGAGCCTTCAGGGAACCCTCATTCTCTCTGCTCTGCTTGAGAAAGTCAGCAATGGCTTTCCATCGAGCAGTCTCCGTTTCCTCTTCCGCCCATCTGAACGGGGGCAGCAGCGTGGAATGCAGAAGAGGGAGCGCACAGTCATGGTAGACCAGGAGGAACTCGGCCTTCAGGAGCTCTCGGTCTCTCTGGGGAAACATCACCACAAGGGAACTATGAATAGACTGGCATCATCGCTCACAAAGTACAAAACCCTGTGAGATGTCAGCTAAAAGCCACCCGGGAGTAGGATGGAGGACCTAGCAGGGAGTAAGAGTCACTGTGGAGAAGAGCTTAGTTCTCCCCAAGAACTCTGCAGTGGCTCTGTGAGACCAGGGTGTCTCCTAAGTGCCACTGAGCACTTAGTCTGTAAAACTCTAGTTTTACAGACACACACACACACACACACACACACACACACACACACACATCTCACAGTGCAAGATGACTATGTAGATGGCTGGATTGTAGTCTGCCAGAACAACTGTCTCAATGTCAGAAAGAAATGGGGCTGGGAATGGTGGTGCACTCATTTAATCCCAGCACTCAGGAGGCAGAGACAGGTAGATTTTTGTGAGTTCAAGGTCAATCAAGCCTACTTAACAAAATCCAGGCCAGCCAGGGCTTAGATACTAAGACCCTAACTCAAAAACAAAACAGAGAAGTGGCAAACATTCTGTGGGATCTGGAGAAAAGAGGCCCAAGCCTGACTGAGGGGTCATCAGTCCTAAGGGCTCAGACCCTCCTGAGACAGTCAGAGGACCTGGCCTGGGGCTCACAGACTGGGGTGGGGATCTCAGAGCACACTGCTGCTGAATGCAGAGGGCTCCGAATACAGCTGGCTGCTCACACGGTATGCCCATGCATACCATTTGTGTGCTGCTCACATGGTGTGCTCATGCAAACCATGTGTGTGCTGCTCACACGGTGTGCCCATGCATACCATATATGTTGGGCAGCACCTCACCCACTGCTATTCTAGAAGATGCAGAACTGCAGTATTAACAGTCAGTCAGTCATGCAGAAGCTCAGGTAAAGACACAATGGCTGTAATTCCTGTCCCTGTCCCAATGTTTAGGTTTGTTTTGTTTTTTGTTTTTGTTCCTGCTCCTGTCTTAATGTTTAGTTTTGTGTGTGTGTGTGTGTGTGTGTTTTGTTTGTTTCTTACAATTCTTGTAAACAATTGACACTTTCAGGTGTATCCAGCCTTTTGACATTGGGATACAATGTATCATTTACAAAGTTAAATGAAAACCATGCAAAACAATTCCAAAGAAAATCTCAGTGTTTTATGTACAGTTATAATTTTGTGGGCTACATTCACAACTATCCCAAGGCACATGTGGCAAACGGGCTGGGTGTACCAGCTAGAAGTAGAAGACCATGGGCCCAATGTGGCCGCTGCCTGCTTTTATAAGCAAATGATTGTAGAAACACAGAGCTCTGGGCTTTTACATGCTGTCTATGGCTGCTTTTTCTCGATGACAGTAGCCTCACTGTGGAAGAGACAATGAGCCTTACAAAGCTTGTCTAAAGTCATTACCTGGTCCTAAACAGAAAACGTCTGTTGAACTTTCTGTTTAGTGGATTCTGGCAATGACATCCTACCTCACTGGTCAAGGCCAGGCTTCCTGGCTAGACCACGTTTCTGCAGCTGCATAAACCCAAGCCAGGCATTCCACTCAGTGCATCCCACCACCTTGTTACAAAGCGTGGGAAATCATTACCTTTTCTGATCGTTTTAGTGTGCTTTCTTTCTCGGCCCACGAACTCTAAACAAGAAAACAGAAATCCTGTATTAGTCAGAGCACTCGCCGCAAGTCCTGGCAGCACCTTCTGCAACTTCACCCTGTAGTTAAAGTTATGGGCAGGGTCAGGATTGCTGCACAGCAACACTGTCCATGGAATCTACTGCCAGCAATTCAGAACCAGCCTGACAGGGAGGGCAGGCACATCGGCAGAGGACACCTCAGAAACCTGTGGTTATTATAAGGAAAAACCAGCTTACAAAAAGAATGGGTAAAGCAAATGCTTGTGCCAAACACATACAATGCCTAGAAGTCATGAGCTTCCAAGGTGAGACAGCAACAAAAATTGCAAGCCCTACCAAGTACCCCAAGCCAGACTCTGCCTGACACACTGGTGACAAGGGGTGGGATGTGACAGACAAGTCAATTTGAGAGTAAACATTTCCAGCCTGTCTACAGGCTTCACACACAGCTTCTTTAACTAGAGAAGCCAGAGGTCAACGGACCCCACACAGGGATGAACTGAAGACTTGGCAAAGCAAGTTCTTAGCAGTCTGTAAGGCTGGGGTAATGTGCCCAGACTCCAGGCTGACTGTCCAGGGCTGGTTTTGTGTATATTTGTAGGTAACTACCTATTGGTACCTTCCTGGGCAGCGTAGCCCCTGGTGCCTATGGTTACATGGTGCTGAGACAGGGATCTCCTCCTCCACCCTCTGGAGAAAGAATGTGCTGATGGACCGACTATGATGTCTTAGCATGGTCAGGGTTATTACTGACTTCTGGGACTGTGACATCCTACCCTATTAACTTGTACCTACTGCCTCTAGGTTGAGAAAACCCATAGCATTTTATAGCAGGCCAGGTGTCATTATTATTAAAACACTAACCACAAACTAAACTCAGCTAAGCAAAGCTTACTTCAAATGTAAATCTTAAAAGACAATATGGCTTAATGTAAACCCCACTTAGTAACTTAGACTCACTGTCTGGAAAATTGCTGTCAGGCAGGTACAAAGACTTGACCTTAGCTTTAGAAAGCAGTGCAGAATTTCATACAAAAGGACTGGGTGGTGATAAAAGCATGTACGGGGGTCAGTGCCACCGCACCAAGTCCCAATCCTTTCCTTCTGAATCAAACTGAAGCCTATCTCCCCACCCCCTGCAAGTTAAAAGGATCACATGACTGGTTCTGGCCAAAGAAATGTGAAAGAAGTGATCAGTGGAAATCCTAAGGTCCATCTTTGCCTTTTCCTGAGGGGCAAACAGCAAAAGGGAAAGCTGCTCATTCCAGGTGGCTCAAGAAGAGAAGAGGGCTTTCATCGGCCTCCACCCTTGGGTAGCTACGGAATGGGGCCATGCTGGATGGCCACCAGGAGTGAGACACAACCCTTTTCTAAAGACACCCTACCCCAGGCTACTTCTCAGAACCCCACTGTGAAGCCTGCCTGCTTTCTTGACCCTCTGATTTGGAATGCACACCTGGTCCTTTCCCTCTTCCAACTCCCTCCTCCGGCAATGGACAAGACCTCAGTTTGATGGTCCTGTTTGTGGTCTTTCAGACTCCAATAAGACAATAAGAAAATATTCTTGGTCTGCTGTTGGCAGTCCTTCTCATGTTAAAGCCAGCAAAGACATCTTCAACCAGAAAAGCCCACTGTTCTAAAGGTTGTGCCATGAGATGGGATTATAATTGGACCATGGGTTATCTTTGGGAGATCTGCTATGTTCTTCAAGAAAGCTGTGTCCAAGAACACTGGACACAGCTTATTTCATGAATAAAACCCAATAAAACTGTCCTTGAGTTTCCTTCTAGGTCTGTCTAAAAGAACCTATAAAAGAAGCCTATGCCTCCCTGCCTCATGACATTATTCCCAGCAACATTTCCAACTGTCATGGCCACAATCCTCCTGGACATGTGCTGTTCTCTCTCTCTGCACAGCCAGAAGAAACATCCCTCAGTGAAGCATCCTGGTCACTCATCACTCCCTTGCTCTCCACGTGCAGTCTCTGGTCTTTGCTATCCACGGTCCCGCCACATACATCATACCAAACTGGACCCAATCTGCCTCAGAAGGTTTCTGCTGATCCTTCCACACCTGTGACATCATCCCTGTCAGCAGGTCAATGCAGCCCCAGTCTTTCGCTAGGTCCCTCTCACCTAAGGATCTTTAATGACACAGAGTTCTGATTGTCATTTGCTGCTTTCATTATATCTGAGGCTTCCAAAACAAACTTGGCCATGGCAGCTACTGTGTTATCTGTGCATGAGCCTTTCATGGTCACAAAGCTTCTCTCTTTGTTGACCCTAATCCTTCAGGTTGAGACACATAAAACAATGGTTTTGGAAATTCAAATTCAGCTGAAAACTGGAGGTTTCAAACTGTTCACTTTAATATCCAGCTGCTATTCAGTGTGCTGAATTCAATTAAAGAATGTTATGTATGCCCCAACTGTCCTGAAAGCTCAGCTGACTGCCTCTCTTGGTTATCTTACATGGAAGAATATAACAGTCAGGAAAGTACAGCGAGGAACTCAGTGGTCCCCATGGTCACTGCATCAGGAAGGTAGCCCCTGGGGAGTAGTGTTCACCATGCTTGGAAAGATGAAGCTGAGTCAGCTAGACAATGAACAGGGACTGGGAAATACTCAGCTACAGCAGGTTTCATCATGGTAAGTGGTACCCACCCTGAGAGCATCCATCACGTCCGGCTGCTCCAGGAGCATGGGGAAGGTGGCCAACACTGGATGACTAATTAAATCTGAAACATACAACAGGAAGAATTCAAGCTTCATTCTGATTTTACTATATTTGATCTCAGTATATCTATTCGGATTAAAATTATTATGTTAATTATTAGATGTTAACACTTTTTACACACTCTGACCTCCTCCTTGTTCAGGTAAGCTGTCTCTATCACACCAATTTTTAAAGAGACATTTGAAAGAGACACATTTAAACAGTAGCATTTGTTTCTGAAATGCCAAGTGCAATACATTCCAAAATTCTATGCCTCAGTGGAGAACCATAGATAGAGTAGCCTCCTTGTCTTTAGGAACAGCCAGTGAGCCTGCTTTTGAGCAGTGATGCTGGTGAAGGTTCCTACTTGCTGAACCCAAGAGCAAGTGATGGGTGAAGCTCAAGTGTCACTCCCTGGAGTTACAGATATTCCTTTGGATGTTTCTGTGCAGCTTTCGACTCCGCTCTGCATTACCAGGACAGGACTCTGGTGTAGACCCTTTTCTAACAGAAAACACAATTGACCACAGTGTGAGGCAACACTGGGCTGTCTTGCTCTGTATTCTCCATCCATGCCTGCCTGACCTCACCTTCAACCTTGCCAGCACAGGTGCATTTTCTTGCCTTGGATCTCCAGGCACATGAGCTACTCTAATCAGAAATGATTCTCTCATACATCTCCCCATGTATCTAATCCCTTGCTTGAGTTTCATCTTTGATATTGTCTGTTCATAGAAGCCTTTCTTCTTGCTACATATTAATTCAGGTCTTCTTGGTTCATGTTCCCTTTATTTTCCTTATGACCAATTATTCTAAAAGGCTAAAGGGCATACTGGTGTTGTTTTATTTTGAAGCCTGGCTGCTCCTTTAGGGTGGGTACAACCATACTTTTTTTCATTCATCACACAATGGCACAACATCATATTCCCAACAGGCAACAGGTATCTGGACACAGGTATCTAGAGTTTTGGTGAAACAAAAGAATTAAGATAGTTTACTTTAGGGCTAAGTTCTTATAGCATGCACACTCCTCTTAGAAAGTTCATTCATGTATAATGGTTTATTTTTAAAATTATTTTTTAATATTTTACTTGGGAATGGGGAGATGTTTGAATGACTAACTTGCCTCCTATACGAATGTGAAGACTGTCAGCTGGGTGTAACAGCCTACCTATGTTCCAGTAGAGAGAGTGGACTAGAGTTAGCCAGTCAAGTTGTATGAGAGAGTTCTGGGCCACTGAGAGGCCTTCCCTCAGTGAATAAGGTAGAGAATGATGGACGAAGATGCCCAGCACTAAACTCAGACCTCCACATGCATGTGCATTCATGCGCACATGTACCCTTGCACATACACTACACATACATAAGATTAACTTAAAGAGAAATACCAAGAATAAAAATAGTGCATTGAAACTAGAGCACTGTCTGATTTACTGACTTGTAACTGATCCATGGACACATTTCACCATTTTAAGAACAGCTATTTGGTAAGATTGTGGCTTCTTCCTGAAAAGATGATATGCATAGGTCGCAGATGAAAACAGGTGGTTCCAAGGCTAAAAAGGAAACCGTTTCTATGTAGGCTCAAGATCTTAAAGCCCCAGGATGGAAAAGAAGTGGGAAAGAACTGAATACATGAGAGCTCACAAAGCTGTCCCTAAGTCATGTGTTACCCCAGTGCTAGTTAACGTCTTAGTCCATGCGCCACATCTGTAGGCAGGAGATGCAGGCTGGCACAGAATGCATGCCTTCGGGGGTTGTAGCATGAAAGCACAGAAAACAGCCCACACTTACCAGCACTTTGCAGATTTGTCCTGTCTCTCAGGAGCACATCTCCAAGAATTTGTCGGTAAAATATCAGTAAATGAGCGGAGCACACACTCCCCACCAAGGTCTCTGGCAGCAGACTAACAGGAGAAGAAAGGCATTCATTAAACAGACCCTTTCAACCCAATCTCCTGGGTTTTTTCTTCCATGTATTATTTGAATGACCAGTTCCAAGTTTTACTTTATTACTGGGGGGAAAAGATTTTACAGTTTAAAGGAAAACTTACATCACGACTTGGGCATGTTAAACTGGGGATACATGGCCCTCGGATGTGTGTTTCTATGTCTCAGCACTGTGCTGCATGCTTGTGTTTCCACGCTGGCACACACGCCCATGTGAAATGTCAAGTAAAAAGGAAAGTCATTAGTGCGTTGTTTTGGAAAGGGACTAGCGAGCTACAGGCTTGAACAAAAGCATGTTGCTGCCAAGCCTGGTGTGGAAGAAGAGGAAATGCCAGTTCAGATTGTTCATGGGCGGGGTGGGACACAGGAGGTGACAGATCTGAACTGAATCCTGACTTTTCTACTTCCTACCAGTCAGTCGAGGGATTAATTAATCACTCTCTGTATGCTTTTGTTTCTTTATTTGTAGGATGCCAAGAGTAATACCCGAATTTCAGGTTACTGAAAGAATTAAAATGAAGTAAATGTAGCATTAATCTAGTGTCTAGTATATAGCAAGAGCTTAAAATTTTAATATTGGAGTTTAGATGGTATCAGTTTAAAATAGATTATTATAACTTTGGGGTGTAATATGTAAAAAATCTCCATGGTAAACACACACACACACACACACACACACACACACACACACACACAATCTACAGACTATATACAAATGGAAAGGGAAAAGACTCAGTGCCAAAAAAAAAAAACCAACCCAATATATATATATATATATATATATATATATATATATATATATATATATATCTACAAGACATACAGGGAATAAGTAACAAAAGTGCCAAAATGATTGCACTCCCAATAGGCAACTATACTAAATGTAAGCAGATCAAAATTCCCCAATCAAAATATATAGATTGGAAGAATAAAAAGGTAAGTCCAACTATATGTTATCTACAAGACACTTGCTTTAGACTCCAGAAAAACATAATTCAAAGGTTACAAAGGTGACCTCAATTTTTATGATTAATCCTTTATTTTAATATCTAGTGAATTTTAGAAGGGAATGGGTGTGGCCAATGGGCTGGTGTGCAGGAGCAAAGGAGTCCACAAGTAACTAGCTTCGTGGATTGCATTTTTTGGTTCACTGAGCATGCAAAAATACCGATTTGGTATAATTTGAGCTAAAGTTCATGGACAGACTGCCGAGGACCACTAACAGTGCCCGATGACACCATACCCTGTATGCTCATGTTGTGACTCCTCAGGGCATTCTCTATCTGGCTGTGGCATCTGTGGGCAATGCTCTGTAGTATGCCAAGATAGGGCTCATGCTGAAGACCTATCACCCAGGGGAAGGGGTGGACCCTTCCTTCCTTCTATCCCCCCACCCCTTCCTATAGATCTGTCTGCTCCATCCGTCTGGAAGGTGTGGGAACTCCCTCAGTGAGAACACTCCTTTCCTTCCACCTCGATTCTGCATGAGGCAATGGTGTCTCATTTTTTTTTTCTTAGAAATTTTATCATTTTTTCCGAACCCAAGATGACCAGAAAGTTCTAAGATACTAAAGGCTGAGTTGGAAGTGAAAACACGCTTTCCTCTAAATCCACCTGGAGATGAGCACACAGGAACAGAGCGCAGGAAATGTAATGAATGGGTCCATTAGGAACATTCTTACTGCATTTTTAACAAGAGTAAACTGTAAGATAATGGATGGAAATATATCAAACAGACAAAGGAAAGTAACTGTAGGAATTTATACAGACCACTGCTCTGGACCAATGTTTCCTGATATGCAGAACCCCAAGAGCCCAAACTCAGAACTCTCTCCCCTCAGGACCTCAGAAGTATGCCTTTGGTCCACTGAATCTAGTTAAACCCTTTTGGAAAATGGTTTTAGGTGGGGGTGGACCAAGTCTTTAATGTCAGCACTTGGAAGGCAGAGACAGGTGGATCTCTGTGAGTTCAAGTCCAATCTGCCCTACATAGGGAGTTCCAGGGACAACCAGAGATACATAGTAGAGAAACCCATCTCAGAAAAAACAAACAAAAAAACAGAGAGAAAGAAAGAAAATGGGACAGGTGTTGGTGAAGTTGAACATGGAGTTACTTTTAGACAACAGGCTCACCACAAACTGGGGCTACGGACTTAGGGGGCAGGGCCCTTCCTTATTCAAAGAAACTGGGTCAAGAGGTGGGTCTTAGCTGGGTGGTGGCAGTGCAAGCCTTTAATCCCAGCACGTGGGAGGCAAAGGCAGGAGAATCTCTGAGTTCAAGGCCAGCCTAGTCTACAAAGTGAGTTCCAGGACAGCCAGGACTGTTTCACAGAGAAACCCTGTCTTGAAAAACCAAGAGGTGAGTCTGTACTTTGTATTTTTATGTCTTCTGATAGACAAATGACACCTAGAGCATGTGCAAGAATGCTAGATGCGTGAGAGGCTAAAGACAGTTGGAGCTGGGTCTTGAGTGAGAATGGGCACCAATGAAAATTTCAGACTGGGCTTTTTGCCACTGGTTGAATGCTCCACTGTTGTGTGTGTGTTCCAATGTTGAGTGCTCCACTGTTGAGTGAGTGCTCCACTGTTGAGTGTGCTCTACTGTTGAGTGAGTGCTCCACTGTTGAGTGTGCTCCACTGTTGAGTGAGTGCTCCACTGTTGAGTGTGTGCTCCACTGTTGAGTGAGTGCTCCACTGTTGAGTGTGTGCTCCACTGTTGAGTGAGTGCTCCACTATTGAGTGAGTGCTCCACTGTTGAGTGTGTGCTCACTGTTGAGTGCTCCATGGCACAGTGGAAAGAGTCCCATTGAGCCTCTCTCAGCACTGAGAGCAGAACTGTAGTTAAACATGGGTGAAGCTGGTTAGCAGGGGAAGGTAGGGTTGAAAGTGGGACATACCTTTGAAGAGGAGGAGAATAATGTGTGTGGTGTCACCACCCTTCTCCTGGAGCCCATGGGCAGTGGCTTGTCAGGGAAGTGAGGATGCTGACCAGGACAAGCTTGCCTGTCTTCACTTCCCTGGTGTGAAAGAAGTGTGTGTAAAGCTCACACGCTGGTGCCCAGCCTCTCACCTTGAACCCACAGCACAGGTCTCAGGGCCCATAAGCCTCTGGCCTGAGAAAGTCCATGGCCTGGTTTCCAAGCCAGGCAGGAGAGGCTAGGGACAGCAGAAGTGAAGTCCCTGAGAAGCACTAGAGGACACGTGCAGGAAGACCTCCTCTTGGAAATCATGTCACACACCCATTTCTATGCCTACTGTGAGCTGCATTTAACACCCCCTGGTGGGTCCCTGATGTCTCCAGTGCAGGGACTAAGGACCCTACAACACAGGACAGTGTTTAGAGCTTTAGACAGATGGCTGCCTTCCCTACCTCTGTGCCACACAGGCCAGTTTGATCCTGAGACAGTAAAGAGTATCCGAGATGCAGAATTGGAGCCAAGAAAGCAGCATTAAGAGCTGTCCCTGGCAGCCATTGGCGAACCCTGGAGGTCTGGCCATGGGTGAGAGGTGGGGGCCAGCAAGAGGGAGGACGATGACAGACAGGATTTGTGGGGAGCAGCAAGAGGGAGAATGATGACAGACAGGATTTGGCTTTTCTCTTACGAAAGCTGCTACTGTGAGGCTTTTGTTTTCTTCACCTTGAAAAGGAACAAGTTTTCAAACAAGATTGGCCAAAAGGGGGGGAGGGTGAATTAGAGACCATGGATATCTGGGGAGAGAAAAAGAAAGCCAAGAGTAAGCAATACCCACGGACACATTATTAATGGTTGCTGACAGGCTGAACTGTAAAGTATACCTCACGATTCAGCACGGGGCACAACCTGACTGAAAACGGCTATGTTCGAGGGGTAGGCCAAGCCTTCTCTCACTTCCCTACTTCATTAAAGATTTTAAATGATATTCACTTATTGTGTGTGGAGGTGTGCCCGCCATAGTACGCAGGCAGGCAAAGAAGACGACCTTTAGGAGTTATTTCCGTTCTTCCACCATGGGGATCCAGGGGGTCAAATTCAGAGGGCCGGGCTGGGCAAGCCATCTTGCTGGCACCTTATCCTCACTTACTGTTGACTGGTAAGCAGGTCCTGGCAGGGCGCTCCTGTGCAGCGTGCTCTGCCCTTCATGCCTTCCCCTGGTTCCCTCTGTGCTCCACAGTCACTCCCCTTCAATCTATTTAAATCTCCTGATCTTATCAGTCAACACACATGCTTATTCCAACAGAGCCTGCACTGATCCATGCATAAGATGATATTAGTGCACACAGCAAGCCCACTATGTTTTGGTGTGTCACACATTATAAATATGGGCTAATTGCTTTTATATGCTTCCTTTTATTAAATCTTATTACAGCTCTACGGACTGACATTAAAGAGATCCTGGGAGAGACGCTTAAGGGCAGTGAATGAGGCACTGGTAGACCTGAGATGCCACTCACGTAAGATCAATCTCCCCGAGGAAACCCAAATTAAAGCAAGGGGCAAACATTTCTCACATTTAGAATGGGCCATCCAAAACAAACAGAAGACATGTGCTGTCAAGAATGCACAGTACCTGAGACACTGATGCTTTGCTAGTGACAGTGTAAATGGCACAGTCGTATAGACAACAGCCTGGCAGTTTATCAAGTTAAAGCAATACGAAATGAGCTAGAAGTTCCATTTCTAGGTATTTTTACCCGTAAGAAATGTAGACATGCATGGTATGCAAATATTATGTGCAGATATTTGGAGAAATCTTATTCTTGACTGATCAGATCTAGAAAAGCATGGATAAGGCCTATCCATCAAGGGCAACGCTGTTTAGAATGAAAAGGACCAAGGTACCAACACACCCACAGCATGGTTGAGCCTCCAGTGCATTTCCGTGGGTGAAAGGAACCAGATTCCAAATCTACACAGTACCATTCATGATGGTTTGGAAAACACAGACGTGTGAAGGAAGAAGACAGAGGAATGGCTGCTTGAGAATGGGGATGGGGAGCCCAATGACATGAGAGAACTCTTTTTTTTTTTTTTTTTTTTTTTTTTTTTTTTAAGAGAGAATGAGATGTTCTCCATCTTGCTTGCAGGGACTATTACATCATCATGTACATTTGCCAAGACTTGAGAACTGCTTGATAAAAAAAAAGGTAGTTTTACCATATGTGAACTAGACCTACCTACACCCGACAAGGAAAAGAAGGCCAGTCCTATCCTTAGGCCAAGACTACACTGCTAAGCTCCATCTATTCAAGAGTGTCTACATTATCTGGCATATCCATCACGCCATCTAGGTGTGTATGCATCACATGTATGCAGGCGCTTATGGAGGCCAGAAGAGGGCATTTGATCCCTTGGAGATGGAGTGATGGATGGATGGTTGTAAGCTGCCTGACATGGGCATTGCAAAATAAACCCAGGTCCTCTGTGTAAGGATTCAGACATTACGCTGGCCTGCCCCTGTCACAATGCACTCAGGCAGTACTCTAGTCAGCCCAGGGTTTCATGAGTACTAGTCTGCAGGCAGGTGCAAAGGACCCCTTTAAAAGTCAGACCCCTGCCCACTTACGCTCTCTCTCATCCTCTCTCTCTTTCTCTCTCCTGCTTTTGGTTGGACACCAGCTACCCCCCCTTCTCTCTCTCCCCCTCTCTCCTCTTCTGTTCCCGGTGTCTCTATGTCTCTTCCCGTCTCCCTCACTCCCCTTTCTAAATAAACTCCTCATTTAAGCTCTATCTGCCTGGCGTGTTATCCCTCCCGTCTTGGTCACCCTCACCTGCTATGCTCTCCCACGTGGTCCCTTACCTTGGGACCCCACTCACTTGGGGACCCCCCCTTCTCCAGTTTTCATTCTTATAACTGTAATGAAAGAACAACATTTTGGTGCATTGACTTGGATTCTGGAAGAGCAGAAAGTGCTGTTAGCCACTGAGCCATGTCTCTGGGCCTCATAGCTACCATTTGAGCTAACAGCAGAGGAGGTTAATCTAAGCTGTATTACTATTCTGTGGCCTGTCTGGATTTTTGGCAGAGTATGCAAAGAGACAAAGAGCAATTGACAAAAGTCAACCAAGAAGCCCCCCACACCAGTTATCCCCCAAGAGAGGCCAGACCAGTCACTCACCTGAGCATGGCCCTTGACCTCCTGTTCAGAGACCGCAGTTTCACCAGCAGTTGAGGCTGCCTCCGCATGCTTATCATCTGGCGGAAAACACTGCCCTGTGCTATGGAGACATCAAGAATATGGAGGCAGTTTAAGTGCTTGGGACAGTGTTCATTTAAACAAATAGTCCTCGAGAATCTACAGCCAAGTGGTGCTGGATTGCATGAAGGCCCAGCTTCTTGCAAGCCTGTCTTGGCATGAATGCCAATGTGTCTCCAGAGGGCACCTCTCAAGCTACCCTCACAGGTGTTCTGTGACATGAAGAAAGGAAGCTGATAAAACAGGCCTGGCTCCAGGTAGACCCAACAGATCCACAGACTCCAAAGCCTAGACTGTTCTGAAGGGTGGGACCTAACACTGTGGGGCAGAACTGAGGGTCTGGAGCACAAAGCCAGGACCAAGATGGTGGAGGAGTGCCGAGGTACCGTATGTCAGTTGGACTCACACTCTATGAGGAAGGGCTGTATCTGTCTTACTGTCTATTTTCCTGCCTCTCCAGTACGCTGCTGGGTAGATGGCATTCACTCGGTTTCTTTTGGAGGGCAATTTGGAATGAATTCAAATGTCCTTTCAGTTAGCTTATTCTACTCATTCTACATTTGTCACATGTATTATGCTGACACAAGCTAGACTCATCTGAGAGATGGGAACCTTAGGTGGGAAAATGCCTCTGTAAGACTAGGCCGCAGGCAAGCCTGCATGGTATTTTTGTATTTAGTGATTGATGGGGGAGGTTCTAGCCCATTGTGGGTGGTGCTATCCCTGGGCTGGTGGTCTTGGGTTTTATAAGAAAGCAGGCTGAGTAAGCCATGAGGAGCAAACCAGTAAGCAACACTTCTTCATGGCTCCTGCCCTGTTTGAATCTTGTCCTGACTTCCTTCCATGATGGACTACTGTGGTGGTTTGAAAGAAAATTGCCCTCAAAGGGAGTGACACTATTAGGTGTGTCCTTGTTGGAGGAAGTGTGTCACTGGTGGGGTGGACTTTGAGGTCTCCCAGGCTTAAGCTATGTCCAGTGTGACAGTATACTTCCTATTGTCTGAGGATCAAGATGTAGAACTCTCAGCTCCTTCTCCAGCACCACGTCCGCCTGCACATCACCACACTTCCTGCCATAATGATAATGGACTAAACCTCTGAACTGTAAGCCAGCCCCAAATAAATCTTGTCCTTTATAAGAACTGTCATGGTCATGGTATCTCTTCGCAGCAATAGAAACCCTAACTAAGCCAAGTATCAACCCAGACCCAGTAAAAAGGACCTGCGACAGGGTCCCCATTATTCACAATTTCCTACTTAGTCTCAGATGTGTTAACAAAAACAAACACTTAGAACAAGTGGCTTCATTTCCATACTGATGACATATTAAGGACTGCGATTCTGAGTGGAAAGTGGATCTCGTTAGGGTACAGTTGCATTCTCTCTGCTCTATTGCTTGCTTCATCTTTCAGGAAAGGAGGTCTGCAGTTTGGATTTAGATGTCACTCAAAGGCCTATGAGTGCTGGAGAGATGGCTCAGTGGTTAAGGGCACTGACTGCTCTTGCACAGGACCCAGGTTCAGTTCCCAGCACCTACATGGTGGCTCACAACCATCTGTAACCCCATTTCCAGGGCATCTGACACTCTCTTCTGACCTCCACAGACACCAAGCATGCACATGGTGCCGAGACATTCATTCAGACACACATACACATAAAACAAAATACATCTTTTACAAAAAGACCTGTAAAGAAGAGGTGGCGGGACCTTTTGGGGGGATCCTTCAGGGACACATTTAGGCCACTGGGTCTGTGGCTATGAAGGAGATATAGAGGCCTTTGCCCTTCTGTTCTGTTTCCGAGCTGTCACAGGGTTAAAGACTTCACCACCCACCTTTTACCATGATGTTCTTTGCTAACACAGGCCCAACACAACAGGGTCAAGAGACCACAGACTAAACCCTGTGGAAACATACTCAGATAACCCCTCCTCCCTTAACTTGCTTGTGGCAGGGTCCTGGTCTCATAAGCCCCTGACAGAGGTTTACACACAGACTGTACCTCTTCTGGACACTGAAGGGTCCACTTCAACGCCTTTTTCATAAGGAGTGCCACCATTCAAGAAGAGTTCATACGTTCTGTAAAAGAACAACATATGTGATGAGCACATGTCATGGACATTTTGGGAACTAGACTCAGCCAGGAATACTTTCCATCACAAAGGTATTCATGGGCACTTTCTTCAACTCATGGGTAAGTGACAATCAAGGGGCTGACTCTTCTATGAGCAGCATCTCAAGAGACAGATGTCCTCCTCAGTACTAACTGCAGACAGTGTGGTTTTCCACAAGAGGAGGAAGAGTCTGACGTCACTAAAATGATTTGACTTAATGACTCGTGTCAATAAGTATTTCCTCCAATGTATTGACTCATTATGCACAATGAAGTCATTATGAATTTCTACTGTATTCTCTCCTGCTTCCCTCCCTCCCTCTTGCTAGGTAGGCACTGAGCTGTTTCCCCTTGGGTCCCCTGTACTTCTCTTTTATGGAAGTGTAACTTACCTGCAGAGAGAAGTTACAATGTATTCCCGCTCTGCTCCTCGGAGCAGTTTACCTGGATCCACTCGCACAGCTTTTGTGAACAAAAGTGGAGTCACAGTGTTCATATCATCCTGCAATTTCCTTCCCTCGACACCCACTGGAGGTGATCAAAGTTAGCTGTGACTCCACTTCTGCAAAGTGGACACGTGCATTTCCTTATTTCCTCTACTAAGCACAATACAACCCTAAGCTATATTATAATTTATATATACTAAGCATAACAAAAAATTTTTTAAAAAGTATAAGAAATCAGGGTTCCCACAACACCCCAGCAGCAACAAATACTAGGGTGATGTGAGATAACGGGAGGCAGGACTCTTAGCTGTGCCCAGTGGCGAGAAGGCCACGAAGGAAGTGCCGCTCAAAGTAATTCTCACACAAGGCTCTGAGACAGGAAATAATCTCCAAATTAAAGATGGAGGAAACTGAGACCCGGAGATGTTAAGGAACCTGAATAATCAGCCAGCTGGGCCCAGAGCTCTGGATGATAGAACTTCCCACCCAGAATCCTAGTCCTGGTCCGTCCTGTCTGCCTACCTGTACCCTCCTGCTCACGTCCTTGACTTAGGTCTTCATTTCACAAATTTAAAAATGAGATCATCAAGTTTCTTGTTAGTTTATGAGACAGGTGGGTCTCAGTTAAGAGCCTGGGATGTATATGGTACCTCTGACAATAGAACCAGGATGTATCCTTAGTACAGGGATGGACTTCAGGAGCCCATTTCCCATGGGAGGATACTCTACTCCCTTAGCCTAAAGACATGGGGGAGGATGGTCTAGGCTCTACCCCAAATGATGTGACAGATTTGATGATCCCTCACTGAAGGCCTCACCCTCCTTAGGGAGTGGATGGGGGATGGGATGAGGGGATCTGTGGGGAGCATGGGAGGATGAGAAGGATAGGAACCTGGGATCAATAGGTAAAATAAGAAAAAATACTGAAAAGAAAAAAAAATGGCTTTCCCTTCACACAAAATATTTGATGAGTAAAATGCTACCAATGGAAAAAAAACAAAAACCAAAAAAATACTGACTTCTGAATATGTCCTGTTTTCCCATGCTCCCTCAAACACTAAGATCAATATGAAAAGCCCCCCTTCCCAAAACTTGTTAAGTAACAGAGTAAACCTGAGGTAGATGGTCCCTGGGAATTTTCTGCACAGTTGCTCATTTGTGAGGAACAATAAGCCACTTACTTTGCTGGAACAGGAACACCGCTGGCATCAAAGAGCTTAAGAAACACCCAGCCGCAGCTTAACTCTCCTCGCTCACCAGTAGACTAGGAAATAAAATGGGCACATAGAAGGGTATCTGAGCTAACCACTCAAGCACTCACCGAGCCCTCTGGGAGGAGCAGAGTTAACACCTACTCTAAGGCCTAAGCTGTCCCTCAAAGAAAATAAGATGCCACATGCCAGCACCCCACTTTACCTGCAGGTCAGATGTTAAAAGTGGTTCTTCAAATGACTGCCCTGCTTTGTCACAGTTGCTTTGAAAGGTCCCTTAAACCTGATCCTGAGGTAACTGTTACTACTGGTCTCCAGTGCTATACGGTTTGGGGACAATGTCAAACCACAGGATACTACAAGACATTTTGAAGTTTTGTTTTACGGGGGATGGAATACAGGAATCAATTACTCAAGGACCCCCTTGCCAGGAAGCTCAGCCCTCCTGCCAATTACCAGGGCACTGGGGCTCACTTGGCTCCTCTCATGTCCTACCCATCTGTCTTGAAGATGTACAGGACAGGAAATTAACATGATCTTCCAGTGACAGCTCTCTGTGTAGCTGCAAGGCCAACTTTATATGCTTACGCCTTTCAAGCTATGAGCAGAATGTGGACGTGTGGAGTCACCAGTGAGGGCGCTCCCCAGTGGGTGTAGCATTTCTCATGGCAAACATTAAAGCACAGTTCTCACGGTCCCTCGCCACTCTCGCATGTCCCTGAGCAAGCTGTGACATACAAACTTATGTGGACTTGGCTCCTGGAGGGCAGGGGTGACTAAACCCCGCCCCCAACACACACACACACACACACACGCGCGCGCGCGCGCACACACACACACACACACACACACAGAGAGAGAGAGAGAGAGAGAGAGAGAGAGAGAGAGAGAGAGAGAGAGCCCAGAATGCACTCAGGACTTTAAATTACCTCTGGGAAGTCCCATACTTTGGGAGGTTTTGTACTTTAAAAGTAACGAGTTCTATGATGCTATAAATGCTAACAAATACCCCTTTGCCTTAAATACCACTTAAATCAGTACCACATAAAAATCAAGAATCAGGCCAATAAGAATCAAGGTGTCTGTTGCCAAACCTTGAGACGACATGGTAAAAGGAGGGAGGTGATCCCTACAGCTGTTTTCTGACCTCCATACTGTGCCCACGAATAAACATAATACTTTTTTAAAAATGAGAATCATATCACTCTGGTTCATAGAAATCTCCCATTGCTGTTTAAGTGTGAATGTGACCCCAGGCATGCGTGTTTGAATACCTGGTCCCTAGCTGGTGATGCTGTTTAGGGGTTGAATCGGAAGTGGGTCACTGGGGTGGCCTTGAGGGTTCTAGTCCAGCCCCTACAACTGTTCATAGTCTGCTGCCTGGCGTGCCTTCCCTGCATGATGGAAGGAGTCCCTACAGCTGTAAGCCAGAATAAACCCTTCCTCTTATGTTGCTTTTGTCAGGGCATTTTGTCATAGCAATAGAGTGTAGCTAACCCAGCTTCTATTATTTTGCTTGTAAATGAGATACATTTCTAACTTTTCCCCTTTGGTGCATCAGAACAGTTTATCTTTCAGCTTTGACATACATTTCGAATATAAGAAATTCCAAGTTCAAATAAAATCCCAAGGTCTGGAGTTGAAGAATTGGACCTGATGAAACAGTCACCATCGAGCAAGCATGGCAAGATGCCAGTGACCTAGAATGATAAGGAAACCAAGTTACTGACAAAAGTGAACAGTGGGCTTCCGGCCAGCCTCATCCATCTGTGAAGGGCTCATGCCTTTGCATTCTAATAGAGGGAGGTGGGGTGGGGGCATACGGGGAAGGCTCAGCCAGTACAGGGCTTGCTGCAGGCCTGAAGACTTGAGTTTTCTCTCTGGGCCCACATGGTAGGAGTAGAGTATTGACTCCTACAAGCTGCTGCCTGACCTTCCTTTCTCTTGCATGTTGTGTCACACAGGCCCACATGGATGTGCTAAAATAGACAAATGTAGAGCAAACACGCACTTTCTTAAAAGGAGATAGACCAGGTTCACATGTAATGATTGGAAGTAGAAACACATAGCTTCCCTGTTGATAGGGAAATTACCTTCACCTGTCTACACTTTTTTTTTTTTTTTTTTTTTGCTTAGAACAGGCAAAGAAGAAAACTACTATATGTCAGTCCCCAGGGGTGTAACAAATGCAGCCTACTTGTTTTATTTACACTAACTACTGCTGTTTGTAAGTTACACTAAAGCCAAAGACCAATGCATACTTGTCCTCACTCCTGCCTTACAGGCATCCCATCATTCCCTTTGTTCAATCCAGTCCATTCCCCTGGACAACCATAACCTCCTTTCCTGCCTAGAAAACCCTACCCATTCCCCAAGGTTTAGTTTCCCGTGCTCAAAAATCTTCCTTGGGCCTAAGGTATGAACCCTCCTTTTCTCTCACAGCATGCTTCCAACATCCTTGGATCCTCATAAGCACTGCACTCCACCTGAATGGTACACAGAACCCAACTCACAGGTGGCACCAAGGACTAAATACCACAGTGCATGTGGCCTATCCACGGCCAGTGTTCATCAGTAGTGGAGACTGCGGCTATTTACAGATGTATATGTATGGATGTGTAAACTCCCACATGTCTAGATCATTCGAGAAGCTCACTCACACTTTCACAGTCCTCCCTGCAGCTCATCCTTGGAAAACAGAAAGTCAACACTGCACATGCACAACGACCAGGGAGCAGACAAAGAGGCAAAGAGACAGGCAGTGCTTCCTGGGGGCAGGTGTGAGGGGAACCATGGGCTCTGAGGAGCTGTGCCACAGAGGACGACACGTGCCACATCAAGCCAGGCGGCTAAGCCTCCAGCACAGCCTGTGCCCTCTCCCTGACCTTCTGACTTGTGCTAAGACCTGATACAGTAAGAGGAAGGGCTTCTAGAATGCAGTGGAACAAAGGAGTTAGCTGTGGGAGGGGAGTAAATGCTAAAATAATGAGTCCTTGGAGGTAGGAAAAAGTAAACCACAAACAATCCCATAAAAAGAACAAGAGGACATCCTTGACTCACTAGCGTCTGTGTGAGACTGACTCAGTGGTCTGAAGCCCTAACCTCACCCCAGCCCTGACAGGATCTGGGTGTAAAGCACCAGGCCCTGAGGCGTTGCCTTTGATTTTTATCTGAGAAAAATACAAGTGCCATTGGCACAGTTGGAAGATTTCATTTTTGAAAAATATTCCAATCCTAATCTTATCTTCTTGCTGTCTGCTCCATCAAGGGACATTTCCTAAAATTGAGATCCACTGAGAGAGGTGACTCACAGGGATCACAGCTTCAGTGATTCTGGGGTGCAGGGGATTTTTGCCAAAATTGTCAAAGAAGAATGGAGATGGAAAGATCTGGAAAGACTCCCATTTGACCCTATGCGCCACATGCTCCATGCACCACACTTTGGGAGCCTCGTGCCCGGTCAGACACTTCAGATGACTTACCTGGGGGGAAAAGGTCCATGTTTTGGGCTTTTTAGGCTGCCATACCGCTCGAACTGTGTGGATATTGCTCAGAACCTGAAATGAGATTTTCTCATTTGAAACCACTCTGTAGGAGTCTGAGATCCCCGCACTTCCAAGTCTCAAGCCTTCAACATCAGCTGCACTGGAAAGCACAGATATACATGCTCTCATTCTCTCCCCCCATCCCTTTCCCTCCCTCCTCTCTGTGTATATAGGACAAAGAAAACGGAAGAACGCAAGATTAGAAGGGAAGAGGAAGCAGGCACACGGCTGGGGGTGGCCCTGGGATCCATCTCTACCAACAAGAGAAAATCAGTAAGAAGCATCCAGCTGAAAGCCGAGCAAGACTGCTCTGCAGCATCTGCCTGCTGCCTTGGGCACTGAGGCCTTTAGTGAGCTGCTCAGAGAATCCAGCTGTGCCGGGAGGCTGTCTCTAAAAGCGCTCTGTCCTGCTTGATATTAACAGCAGCACTTCTTATTTTTGACACTTAGATTTATTGTGGAAGAGTTCAAGTAAACAATGTAAGGACGTGCATTCCTACTAGACACACCTACAACATGAGATCTGTTCTATGAGTTAATATCTATGATTTTGGTATAAGTTTTACTACTCTGATGTATTAGTAAAAAAAAAAAAAATCAAACTTCAAACTGAAGCGTGGTGATGGTGTGTAGAGCGTGGTGTATATCTACAGTCCCAGCAGAAGCAAGAGGATGAATTCCAGGCTAGCCTGATCAGGACACTATCACAAACAAACAAACAAACAAAGCTGGGGTCCTAGTTCTTGTGAGAGGCCAGACTAGGGGTGTGCATCTGGGAGACTGTCTCCAAAACAAAGTAAAAGACAGTCTGTCTCCTTTTGGTCACCAGTGGTCACCAGTGACACCTGCTGGCAGTGTTCTGTACGGAAGTGTGCAAATGAGGATCACTGTTACACACTCCAAGTTCAAATGAAGGATGAACTCTTCTGTCACGTGGGAGTCTAAGGCATCCTGCCAGCTTAGCACTCTGCTCTCCCATCTAGTCCACCACATTTGGTTGATTCTTGCCTCCCCCATCTCCCTCTGCAGCACCCTCTTTCTAAGTTGTAATCATCATTGCTCGCCAAGCCCACCTACGCAGCCCCCTGTGCTCTGAGTGCGGTCCTAAATGTGTCACTCGTATGAACTCACTTACTCCTCCTGTCAATCCAGGAACAGAGTGAGCAAGGGTCTCATGCCAGCGAATGGTGGAGCTGCTTAATCCTAAGCGAGCTGGCTCCATATTTTGTTCATTTGACAGTGACAGCTGGCTGTCCTGACCACCAACTATTGCAGGGTTTCTCTACTCATCTTTCTGCTTTTGCTGTTTATGGCAGTCACATTTCTCACTGCTGTGACAAAATCACTGACGACAGAACTGTAGGGAGGCAGGGTTAAACTTGGCTCATTGCTCGAGAGTGCAGCCTACCATGCAGGACTATGGTGGTAAGAAAGTGCCTCTAGATGTGGCCACAAGATCTTGAGGCAGCTGGTCACACTGTGACCTCAGCCAGAGAACAGAGAGAGCCCAATTGCTGCTCAGCTCACATTCCCTTCCCTTTTCATTCAGCCTGTGACCTCAGTCTATGGGATGTGCCACGCCCACCCATTCTGTAGGGCTCTTCCCACTCCAGCTTAACTCACTCTTCTACTTCTAGGTTTGTAAGTTAAGTTGGTTGCTTGGACAACTGACTTTGAGTCTTTGTTCTTCACAGTATTTGTGGTTAAAGCTGAAAATTTCTACCTGGGCACTAAGAATTTTCTCATACAAGAAATGTTTGTTTCAAGACAATCATGCAGACTCTTTTTGGCATTGGGTGAAAAGAATCAGGAAGGAAAAGAATAGAAAGCTTTATTGGTTATACTGGTATATATATTTATCAAAAATGTAGTACCATAGATAAGACCTGGGCTTAACTATAACAATATAACAGTATAACAGTGTAACAGTGGGGGATAAGCATTAGTACCTTAGATACATTAGCTCAGATACATTGTCTGTGATGTACCAATATCACACTCCACAATCAAAGAACCAGAAGTTAAACCTACATAATCAGAACCAGTGTGGTACATACAGATATGTGTATATATAATAGGGAGGAGGAGAGAAGGCAGTAGTTGCTTAATGTTTATATATGGTGCATGTATATATAACATACATGGTACTAATAAAATCCTTTTCCCTTACCCTGGAGTGACTTGACTTAGCTCCCAGCAGACTTAGTTCTTACCTTGCTGCCGTCAAACAGACAGAGGCGCACGTGTCTGCTGAGAACCTGTATGCTTGCTCCTGGGAGAGGAATCATTTTACAGCTCCACAGGGTCAGAATCAAAGAGACACGGCTTGGCCTTGACATAATCTGAAAGGAAAAGTAAGCACACATTTTATTATTATTGTTTGTGATTTATAATAAAATCAATTCCACAAAGCATCTTTTATAAATACAGCTTTAGAAAATAAAGCAAGTCACTCTGGAAATCTCAGCACTTAGGAGGTGAAGGAGAAAAATCAAGAGTTCAAGGCCAGCCTGAGCTACACGAGACCCTATTTTAAAAACAAGAAAGCGAAAGAATAAAAAGAAAATATACATAGATTTTTAAAAGCCAAGAATTTTATACAAACATATTTACAGTTTTCAGCAAAGTACACTTACAATAAAAAAAAACCAATCTTTTGAGGTAAATTTTTACACAGTTGTATTTGAAAGTTACATTTTTTAATCATTTACAAACTGCAATGAAATAGGCATGCAGGACTCACAGGTAAAATAAATGATTAGACTATGGGATCACTGCATTCTAGTCCCCAGTTATTCCTGTAAGATGTGTATGAGCATGGATAGCTACCACAGTGTAGCTCCAGGATATGATAATAGTGTCACCCAGTTCAATCCTCCCTTGTTTGGATTCTGTTGCGATTTGGCAAAAAGCTCTAATATTCTGGACCATTCCTCCCAAACCCTGATCACACAGGGCTTCCATTCTTCTCCTTAGGCTCTTGAGAGGGAAGAGAAAAATAATGAAGGTAAATATCTGGGAAGGAATGTGCTATTTTTGCCACCCCAGGGAAGATAGTATAAGAAAGCAGACTGCGAGGAGCAAGCCAGCAAGCAGAACTCGTCCAAGGCATCCACTTCAGTTCCGGCCCCCAGGTCCTGACTGAAGGTCCTGCCCTGACTTCCCTCAGTGCTAGGATGTGACCTGAGAGTTGTAAGAAGAAATAAGCCCTGTCCCTCTCCAAGTTGCTTTTATTTATGGTGTTTTATCACAGCAACAGAAACCGTACTTAGGACAACCTCTCTCTGAGGTTATAAACACTAACCAGTGCCTGGTGTGTGTGTGTGTGGGGGGGCTTGTTGGAGTAGTTGCCTATAAGTTGCAAGTTAGTGGTGATAGGGGACAACATCACACAATGGAGCTTTCATTAACTCAGCATCCATGCTGGGGTGTGGCTTATCAGTGACACGGCTACATAAGTCACCTATGCTCCGGTAAGTGATCACATAGACTTGACTGGTTCACACTGGACTCCACAGAATTATTTCTTTGTTCTGTCATGGCCCTCTTTTCCGGGGTGAGCAGCAATACCTCCCCAGTGAAAGCATGCAACAAAGATACTTCAGCAAACTGTAACACTAACGTTTATTGAGTTCTTATGTGCCCAGCATTACACTTTATCATTCACACAATAACTCTGTGTTGAAAGAATTAGTTATTATTATTATTATTATCATTATTATTATTATTAATAGCTCCCCTTTTACATATGAAAAATGATTAGTAGAAGGCTGGAGAGATGGCTCAGTGGTTGAGAGCACCAGCTGATCTTCAAGACATCTGGGGTTAGGTTCCTAGCACCCACAGAGTGGCTCGCAACCATTTACAACTCCAGTTCCAGGGGACTCAGCTTCCTCTTCTGGCCTCTGTAGGCACCAGGCATACATGTGGTACATAGATATACATGCAGTCAAAACACCTATGCACATAAAAATTATCTAAAATTTCTTTCTTCAGAAAAAAACCTATCTAAAATTTCTTTCTTCAGAAAAAAACAGAGCCACATGGTGAGACCTTGTCTCAAAAAAAAAAAAAGGATTATTAAGACTCAGCTGTACCGCTCTTGGGCATATAGCCAAAGGACGTTAAATCATACTTTATACTACAAGGACATTTGCTCAACTATGTTCACAGCAACTTTATTTGTAATAGCCAGAACCTGGAAACAGCCTAGATGTCTGTCCCTCAACTAAGGAATGGATAAAGAAGGCAAATGGATGGAACTAGAAAAAGAAAATCACCCTGAGTGAGGTAACCCAAACTGACAAAGGCAAACATGGTGTGTACTCACTCATAAGTGGATACTCGCTGTAAAATAAAAGATAGCTATACTACAATCTACAGACCCAGAGAGACTAGTAACAAGGAGGGTTCGTGGGGACACCCAGAGCCAGAGCTTCCTGGAAAGGGGAAATATAAGAGATTTTGTGAGTGAACTTAGGTGGGTGGTGATGAGAACAGGAGCGATCAGGTTGGGGGGCTCAGAGGAGAAGGATGGTGAGGGGGACTGCTGGGGGGCACATGCTGGGGTCTAGTGGAAGCCTGGCTCTGGGGAATCTTCCAGTAGTCTATGGAGAGGACCCCAGCTTAAACTCCTAGCAATAACAGATAAGTAGCCATCTCCTGTGACCAGACCAATGCCTGGCCCAACTGCCATCAGAAAGATACCATCCAGCAACTTATGGAAACAGATGCAGACCCACAGCCAAACATTAGGAGGAGTTCAGGGATCCTGCAGAAGATCAGGGAGAAAAGACTGCAGGAGCCAGAGGGGTCAAAGGCACCACAAGAAAACTGACGGAATCAAGTAACCTGGGCTCATAGGGGATTACAGTCTGAACCGACAGCCAGGGAGCCTACACGGGGCTGTCCTGGCACTCTGCATACATGTTACAGTTGTGTAGCTTGGTCCTTTTGTGAGACTCCTAACAGTGGGAACAGGAGCCATCTCTGACTCTTTGACTGGCTTTTGAGGCCCTACTCCTCATACTGGGTTGCCTTGCTCAGTCTTAATACACGGGGAGGTGCTTAGTCCTATTGCAACTTGATATGACACGCTTTGTTGATGCCCACGGGAGACCTATCCTTTCCTAAACAGAATGGAGGAGGGGTGGATAGTGGGTGGGTACAGAGGGGGAGGCGTGGGGGAGGAGGGGGAGGAGAGGAGGGAGTGGAAACTTAACAGGGCTGTAAAATAAATAAATAAATAAATAAATAAATTTAGTTATTTAAAACAATGATACAAACTTAGAATTAATTCTTTTGTAATGAGAGAACAATAGAAAAGTGAAGAAGGTGAAGTTGAGCTACAAAGTTCAAATTACAAAGTACCTTTCAGAAGTACAGAGTGTGTTCTCTGTGATGTACTTGTCAATTTCCATTTTACATGCGTGCTACAGGACAGACCCTGGGCCCCCTCATTTGATCAACAGTAAGCACACCTACCGTGCCTGCCTTAGCGTCCCACAGTAGATCTCTGAAGGCCAGCTGTGATGTCGTGAGTTCCGGCTGTAAGAAGTAGCTTGCTCGAAACTGGTTCCCTGATAAAACAACACCCCCTTTAGTTTCTCAAAACAGAGAAATGAAAGCCAAAACCCCAAATCCGTACTGTTACAAGACAAACTTAGCAAAAAATTTCCGAGAAGTCATGTACTCAATTTCTAAGGCAGATGTAACAATATATGTTTGTATATTAAAATAAGACACAAACTTGAAGTTATAAATATATAAAGATCACCTCAAGACAGCTCTAAGGGAGTTGTAAAGATTTTTAGACAAAAAGTATGCCTCATGATAATGATGATTCATTCAAATACTTGTGTAAAGAGGAAGAAATCTTTAATCATGTTTTAGAGATTTGGGGACAACATTACATAATTAGTTTCATTTTAAAATTAATTTTTGAGACAATGTCTCCTATAAATACCAGGCTGGTCTCTAACTCTCTATGCCACCAAGGGTGACTTTGAACTTCTGGTTCTCTTACTTCTTTCTCCCACATGCTGGGATCATAGGTCCACACCTGGGCTGCTAATTACAGATATCACCACTCACTCAAGAAATAGTTCTGGAGCCCCTGCTTTGTGCCAAGTGCTATATTAGAAGCCAGAAACAGAATAGTGAACCTGAGAGACATGTCCCATCCTCATTAGCTTACCGCTGACTGGGGGTGGGGCTGACAAACAAAGCCTGAGGTTTAAGGGTGCTGAGTAGTTTCAAGGGTGCACAGGAAACCAATACAACCATGGCAGGCATCCTGGGGAAGGACGGGAAGAACACGGGAAAGAGCCACTCCATCAGAGGTGACCTCACAGAGTCCTTCCAAGGATAACTGAACAGCTCAGATACACAGGAGACACCTGTCACCATGGTTCTTCTTTACAACAGCCTACAGACAGATGCTCTCAAGCACCAGGAAAGCCCAAAATGAACAAGGGAACAGAAACACCAGGTGGAGAGAACACTCCCGAGAAGTCTTGCTATAAAGAAGTGCTTAATGGGATGGGATTGGGGTTGGTCCTTAAGGACTCAGGATTAGGTGTCTTGCTAATACTGATTGGGCATGTTCCAATAGGGGAAAGACTGGAAAAGTTTGGCTAAAGGTAAAGGAAAGGGCACCTGTTTTAGTTAGGGTTTCTATTGCTGTGAAGTGCAATAGACCATGGCAACTCTTACAAAGGAAAACATTTACTTGGGCCTGGCTTACATTTTCAGAGATTTAGTCCATTATCATCATGGTGGGAAGCAAGGCAGCACACAGGGAGTCACAGTGCTGGAGAGGGCGTTGGCCATCCTGCATCTTGACCAGCAGGCAACAGGAAGTGGTTTGTCTCACCCAGCATGGCTTGAGCCCATCTCCACAGTGACACACTTCCTCCAACAAAGCCACACCTCCTAATAGTGCCATTCCCTTCAGGGGACATTTTCTTTCAGACCACACAGCAGAAACTGTGTTTGTGAAACAAGGAAAGGAGCTGGAACCCAGAGCATCACACACAGCGTGGCATTCCCAAATGCCACGGGAGTACAAGGAAAAGATGACTACTCAAGGAGGTGAGATGCAGGGCTGGGGAGATGGCTCAGTCAGTAAAGCAATTGCCAATGTGAGCATAAGGACATCAGTTCTATCTCTCAGAGCCCAGGCAAGAGCCAGGTGGAGTGCAGTGGTATGTACCCATGGTCCTTGTGCTGGAAAGCAGAAGAGGGGGAATCCCTGGGGTTTGCTGGCTAGCAAGTCTAGGCAAACTGAGTGGAGGCCTTGCCTCAAAAAATACAGTAGGGAACCGTTGAGGAAGACACATTGTGTTCACCTCTGGCCTCAGCATGAGGAACACAGGAACACACACACACACACACACACACACACACACACACACACACACACACACACACACGGGTGGGGGTAGATGTAGTATCTTTAACTTGTTTTGTCAATGAGAGAAAAACTTCAGCTTTGACTGCTTAACTAAAAGAGTACTGAGGCTGAAAGCCCTGTGTTACCTTCATCCAGCAGCTGGGAGAGCATGGAAGGTCGGAACCCTGCAGGAATAGCTCCCATTGTGGCTAGCACATCAATAGTGTTTATCTGTTGAAGACAGGAGAATGAAATAGACTTGTTTCCATTCCTCTCCTTGTCTCTGTAATACTTCAACACCATTGCAACCATAACTCAAAAGAGGAAAATACAAAATATAGACTTTGAGGTAAGAAATGTTACAGTGTAACACCCAATTCCTAGAGGGTGGCATTCATCATGAACCCGGGCCTCCGTAATGACTTTGACCCTCATGGTGACTAGCTTACAGAGCTCTGGGTTCCACGCCAGTTGCTTCAAGTGCATCCTGCACCAAAATGGCCCCACTCCCATCAAGTTCCACAGCACATGCCACTGAACAAATGCTCACACACTTTAGAGTCAGTGGATGCTGTGTGTGTGTGGACATCCCACTCATACAAGCATGGCCTTGTAACTAAGGAAGAGAGAAAGGAGTCAGGAAGGAACTCACCACGCTGCTAATGGGGATGGTTAATAGATTGAGAGGAAGGATTTTCACTGTGTTATATAATTTCTGGGTGATAGAATTATGGGTAATTTCTTACTCTGATGTATCTTTTTGTATGTTTTTCAAATAGCTGGGCTTTAATGTCAATTTTCCCAAATTGATAGAAGATTTATGTGGAAACTCAGGATAATCCCAAACTCTCAAATTGTATCAGAGAAGAGAGTCCCTACTTCGCATAGGAAGGACATGTTCTTTGGATTACGGACCACTAAGGCAGAAGATATGCGTTACCTTCTGTACATCTTGTACCTGCTAAGACCTCTGCTGTCCTCTAGTCTCTATTCTGCTCTGAATTCAGTCTGAACTACTGAATAACAAACCCAATGTGTCTTACTAGTCAATCACATCAATATTAGTAGACACAAAGCACCAGCCAGGAAACACCAACCTCTGAGATAGCTTTTCGGACAGCACTCCAGTGGGAATCCGTTCTAGGGAGACAAAGAAGCAAGGTCAGCGAGGGACCAGTTATATCTATTCAGACTGGACAGTCAAAGAAAAAAGTGTGTAATCAATCAGTTCTGAAAACTAAACAATCATTTTCTCCGATTAAAGTATCAACACATGCCTCCATTTTAAGAAAGTGTTGAATTATTTATGATAGTAAAAATAAAGACAAAAGTTTCTGGAACTGAAGATGGTTTACTTGGTAAAATGCTTGCTATGCAAGTGTGAAGACCTGCGTTCAAGCCCCTAGAGCTGACAGAAAGCCACGCATATGCCTTGTAATCTCAGTGCTGAGGAGGTGGAGACAGGAAGGTGTCTGGGGCTCACTCTCCACTCAGCCTCACCTAATTAGCAAGCCCCAGGTCCCAGAGAGACCCAGTATCAAAAAGTAAGGTGCATGGCTCCTAAGGAACAGCATGCAAGGTTCCCCTCTGCCTACACGTACGTGCGCATGCACACATGTACGCATGCACGCGCACACACACAGCTACCCTGACCCCTCCCTCCCATTTCGTACCTCTGCTTTACTTCAGCTCCGTTTGCAGTTTCATCCACCACCTCCACATCCTCGTCACTGCCCTCCTTGCTGCCTTCTTCATTCGATTCTTGCTTGTCTTTTTTATTATAGGGCTAGAAAATCGTGGACATACAAAGTGATTTTCAGTCAATACAAAATCAGCCAACAAAATACCAGAATTTTAAAAGATTTGGCATAAATCAAAATATTTGTATGTGATGGGGAAATATTGTAACACATGCTTGCTAATTTCACTATTTTAAAAAAAATGACAGCCATGGTAATTCCAAAACTTGGGAACCTGAGTCAGGAGGATCATGAGTTCTAGGCTAGCCTGGGCTCCACAGCAAGATCCTGTCCAAGAGTAAAAAAAGTAAAATTTTAAAAAAGGCAAGTTTAATCAAAATAAATTGCATATCTGTTTATGTTAGATGGAATTTAAATTAAAAAATGGAAAAAGAATCAGTAAAAGTGAATGCCGGAAGAAGATAATCTTGGAATAAGAAAGCCCTTTTCAGTCAGGCGGTGGTGGTGCACACCTTTAATCCCAGCACTCGGCAGGCGGATCTCTGTGAGTTCTAGGCCAGCCTGGTCCAGCACATGTTCCAAAGCTACATAGAGAAACCCTGTCTCAAAAAAAAAAAAAAAAAAAAAAAAAAAAAAAAAGTCCTTTTCAGAAATAATATCAAATATAAAACCAAAAATCATAAGTGAAACCACTGACAGATTTACCTAACAAAAATACACACAGCTGAAAGTCAACAAAAAACCAAACACGAACATCTGAAGGTTAATATCCTCATTAATAATATTATAACAGCCTTCACATTCAATAAGGAATGATATAAGAAACAAAGAGTATAATAAATGCAAACAAAACAATCATGAGCTTGGTTTTTGTTTTTTGTTTTTTCTTCCTGGAGCCCACATAACAGCCACAGGTATATGGGTTCACCAGAGCAAGCTGGCTGGCTATACAGCTAGATTTGGTGAGCCCTGGGGTCAGTGAGAGGCCTTGCCTCTGTACATAGGATAAGGGTGACCTCATGAAAGACAACCAGTGTCATTTTTGGTCACGAAATTGGTTTTGATGACCACAGCCAGCACTGTCAAACATACAAGAATATACTCTCAGGGGATGGCAAATTGGTGAAATACATAAAATCCAAAGATGGCTGTGTGGATTAACACCACGGCAGCTGCTTGTTCTCCAACTCTCCATCTTAGTGCTGAAAGAAATTTGGACTGCAATAATGACTACTAGGCACTGGGGAGGCTCAGACAGGCAGATGCCCTGGACTTGGTGGCCTACTTAGCAACCCAGTAAGAGACCCTGTCTCAAAACTTGAGGTGGACGGTACCTGAAAACAGCACTAAACCCCACAGCATCTTCGTGATGGGAGTGTTCCAGAGCTCATGCGCATGTCCCAGAAGGCGGGTGGTTAACGCACAACACTTCCCTCACTTGTCATCTCTTCAAAATTAAAGCCAATTCTCTACCCCAAACCATTCGCTTGCTGACAATTCAGAAGTACAGCCCCACACCACATTACCATCCAATGGAACACTCTGTAGCAGGAGAGGCATAAAACCAGGACTAACCTCCAAGTAGGTTCTGGGAATGAGACCCTCATTTCCTTCAGCGTCCTTAGCCAGCCACCAACCATCAGGCTTTTTTTCAATTATATGGAGAATATCCCCTTTCTTAAATAAAAGCAAAGTAGAAAATAAGACGTCAATAACCATGAACAAATTTCACAATATTTCATTACAAATGCTTTAAATGTGTTTCTACAAAAGTAAAATAAGCTTCATTAATTATTTAGGCCCACTTAAAAATAAAGTTCATAATACTCTATTACTGACTCTTATGTGAGTATATAAATGAACTGCTTCATTTGACTAGTTAGCAGGCATGCATGCGTGCACGCGCACACACACACACACACACACACACACACACACACACACACACACAGCTTATATTCAAATGAGAAGCACCTCCTCATTAGTGTGTGTGTACCACATGCATGCCTGGTGCCCATGGAAGTGAGAAAGTGCTTTGCATCTTCTGGAACTGGAGTTACAGGGGGTTGTGAGCCATTTGTGGAAGCTGGAAATCAAATCTGTGTCTTCCGTAAGAGGAGCAAGTGCTCTTAATTGCTGAGCCATCTCTCCAGCCCCTCACCATCGTTTTTAAGGCATCATGCTTATGCCAACACCGTGATTATTAGATAAGAAACACTGAATTTGTGAAACTCTTTGGAAAGCATCTTCCAGAAGCAGCATGTGAATCATAGATGAAAATCAGCTCTGTGAAATTAAAATTAAACCATATGTTCAGACGAAAATAGTATTTGTCTAAAATATCCCAATTCACATTTTTAATGACATTTATCCATACATAAAAATATAATACACCAGCCAGGTTTGGTAGTGCACGCCTTTAATCCCAGCACTCGTGAGGCAGAGGCAGGTGGACCTCTGTGAGTTTGAAACCAGCCTTGTCTACAAAGCATGTTCTAGGATACCCAGGACTGTTAAACAGAGAAAGCATCTTGAAAAACAAATAACGGTCCACAGTCTAAGGCCAGGCTGGCTTAGTGGGAAAGTGCTTGCCGAGCACACATAAAGCCCATGACTTGCTCTTTAGCACTGACCAAGCAACCCCCGAATTAATTTTTCCACCCACCTGCTACTTAATGTATGCATAGACCAAGCATGCAGGACTTGAAGAAAGGCCTTTTTGAGGGGGTGGCATTATTTTGCTTTTGAGACAAGGTCTCACTTGTGTAGACCAGGCTGGTTTTGAATTTACAGAGATCTGCCTGCCTCTGCTTCCCGGTGCTGGGAGTAAGGGCTCCTGAAGAATTGCCTCTGACAACATGAAGCATGCCTATTGATTCAAGCTACAGGTTCTGCCTGAGTTGAGTGATTTCATGCATACACAATTTAAAAATGTACTCTTAATTAGCTGTTATCAAACTGTGGCTACTTTGAAAAAAACTTTAGAAGGGGAAATTTGAATACGATAACCTCCTATTAGTGCTACGGTTACTTTTCTAAAGAAAGATTTACTCTCAGGACTGCGACACAAGCCCACAGACAGCTCAAGACTGTGTGACACAAATACACAGGCAGCTCTCTGGAATTTTCTTACTGTTAGGAATGCACTTACCCTGGCTAAACAGCAGACTAACCACCTACCTTAAACGTCAGGTCCCCAGCCTGCTGAGCAGCAAAGTCCCCAAGAGCAAAGTACTTGACAATTTCTGCCTGTTTGGGGGAGGCTTGTTCCTGCTTTTCTTCCTCATCTCCTTCTGACTCTTCCTCCTCTTCACCAGTTTCTTCAGTTGCTGCTGCTGCTTCTGCTTCTTCTTCTTCTTCTTCTTCTTCTTCTTCTTCTTCTTCTTCAATCAAGTCATCTTCCTCCTCTTTGACACTGCGGGCCTCATTTCTATGAAAAACAATTCTATCAATAGGATACCTAAAATCACATTCAGACACAGAGTGATGAAGAAGAAAGCTTGCATGGACAAAAGCTGCTCCTATTTGGAGCTGGAAGGGAAAAGAAGTAGTAGAAGAGTGCATATGACTCTTTCTACCATCAAGCTGAGCTCAGGGGCCTGGGGGGACTGAGGGCGATAGAGAAACTGAGACACGAGACTGTATTCAAACCCTGGAGTCATCCCTGCACACACTGCTCAGGCATCTTTACGCAGTGCTCACAGCATGGGCACTGGTTTTAAATTCTGCCTCTACCCATTCTTCCTTGAATAATCTTGGATTAGATTAGTTGGTCTTGTATGTTTGTAGTGCTGGGAATCAAATCAAAGGATAATATACACACACACACACACACACACACACACACACACACACACACACACACACGAATTAACTAAAACCCCAGTCCTTGGCTACTCTAACCTCAGTCTGCCAAGTGTGGAGTTATAGACATGTGCTACCATGCTCAGAAAGAGCTGTAATTTTTTCTCAAAATAAAACAAAAAAGAACCCAAGACTTCTTTCTGTCTTTGTTGATCTGACCATTGCTTATCTGTTCTCATTTTCACTGCTTTGTTTCCTTTCATGGGTTACGTGGCTCCTTCCCTTCTTCTTTGGCTTCTTAAGTTAGAAGCCCTAATAATTGATTTTTTTAAAGATTTATTTATTTTACATATATGAGTGTTCTATCTGAATGTATACCTTTATGCCAGAAGAGGGTATCAGATCCTGCTATAGATGATTGTGAGCCACCATGTGGTTGCTGGGAATTGAACTCAGGACCTCTGGAAGAGCAGCCAGTGTTCTTTACTGTTGAGCCATCTCAGTAAATTATTAGGGAGCCAGCCCCCTAATAATTGATTTTCAATCTTCTTTCCAAACTACTCATTCAAAGCTACCCATTTCCCCCTAAGCACTACTTTGGCTGTAACTCACAAGTCATATCCTTTTTTATTCACAATATTTTCTAATTGTCACTGCTTATTTACCTTGACTCATGAGTTACACTGAAGTGTTTGATTTAATTTGCAAACATTGATGATTTCTCCTTGTTTGTCATTGAATTTTAATGTGATTCCAAAATTTCAAACAGCATACATGACACAGACTCAGTTCTTTGAAGCACAGTGACAAGTGTTTTGTGGCTCCCACGGTTCATTGCATTAACAATTGATGCACTGCACTTTGCTGGGAGCTATGTCACCTAGTTTCAGATCAGCATATGAATGCTTGTCCAATAGGTCTCCATAAGGCAAGACAGGTGGAGACGGCCTCTCACTTGGCAAGGGTCAGGGGACCTGGAGACAGCACTGAGTACTGCTGGCACCTGCATCCCCTCTTCTCTATCACAATATGAAGATTCTCTTGGCATTGCTTTAGTTTCCTTTTGTCAGTTACACATGGGACAGATGTGATCATGCCCTGGAACATTTATTTCTCTAATGTTTTCCCCTAAAATTCTTTGGAAACTGAGGCTTCCCAGGTTTCTTATCTATATATACCAGCTGCCACCCCAGACCCTGAGAGCTTTTCTGATTCAGTGCGAGCAAGATCGAAGGCAACAAAGGATAATGGACACATATAAGGAAGCAACACAGGGGACTTTAATTACATCTAATTCTGAGAAAAAATTAAGATGGAAAAAGTGCCTTATCAAATTTTGCCCTTTATGGAGACTTAGGTGTGCAGGAACCTTTTGTAGGACAAGGGAACAGCTGGAGAAAGATAAGCTAACTGTATGGAATCAGCTTATGGCAAATCACTCTGTGTCTGTAAATATGCTTTGCTAACTTTTGAACAATGTTATTATTGAGAATGTATGCTTACTTCTATCACCATTTAGCTTTGTAAAGATGGGATGTGCCAGGTTTTATATTTAGTCAACCTAACAAAATGCTGAGTGTTATTTTTGGTTTAAAAGTTGTTTTTCTGTAAAAGTTGGGGAAAATATTTTGTTTTTTTTTACTGGAGGTTAATGCTGGAGGGTAGGGAGAACATGTTTGTGTCTGAAGTATAAATAGAGACAGCGTGAGCTATTCAGGGCTGGCCACTTGTGTCAAACTCATGCAGGAGTTGGACAGTTCTCCTTTGCACCAATGTCCCTTCCTGGTCTCAGGACCTGAACCCAGTCCAGCTGCGGTGGGATGTCCGCAGCTCTTGAAAAGCAGGACGTTGTTTCCTCGGGCACAGAGGTCGACACTGTCTACACTGATGCTATCCCCCAAGTTTGCTGGGAACCATGGGCTAATTTGCTGACTTATAGTTCTGGCAACTCTGGCAACTCGAGCCTATGTTATTAGGATTGTTTTTTTCTCTACTGAACTTACTTTTTTATAAATACAAAATGTCCTTCCTTATATAGTAAACACTTCTGGCCTAAATGTCTACTTTGCCGGGTTAAGGTAACTGCCTTCTTAGCTTTTGCTAGTATTTACATGTAATGTATTTTTCCAGTCTTTTACTTTTGAAGTTCTCTAATTTGTAACTAATGCATAACTCTTATAAGCAGTACACATATTTAGATCTACAAAAGAAAAAGCAATGCAAAACAAAGAAACTCAAACCGAAAGCCAGCCTTTCTTTTAAGTGAAATACCGGTCTACTAACGTTTAATATAACTGTCTAAGTGGCTACACCAAAAGCATGCTACCCTTTAGTTTACTTTTGCCTCATGTGGTACTTTTTTTGTTTCTCTTTCTTTTTAAAATTTTTGTTTATTGAATAATTTTTAGCATTCCATCTTTTTGTTTATATTGTTTTTGTAGTGTATGTATTATAGTATAATCTAAATTATAGTCTTACATAATTAAGGTTTCATTATAAGCAAAAATAAAAGAATCTGAAGCTAATAGAATTACACTCAGCTCCTCTGTTCTGCTGCTGTGCTCACAGGACACATGGTCCATCCTCACTAGCTTTAGTTCCCATTATTTGTGAATTTGTTCGTGTGCTAAGATAGAACTACCACATGCAGTGCTAATGTGGCCAGTTGTGGACATTCCCAAGGCAGCAGACACTATGAGTTATCAGTGCACATCAGGCTGACCTCAGCAACATCATCTTTTCCTTTAGCTTTCCTTCAGTGAGCATCCTGTCTTCTTCATTTTTGTGATGCTGATGTGTTTGCTGTTTAAATGCCTCCAAAATGGGTTACTGGACTGCTACAAAGAGCTTCTAAGTATGAGGAAGCTGCGTTTGCCTTACAGAGAAAGTACAGGCCAAGTTAAGACTTTTTGTGTGTAAATTATAGTTCTCTTGAATATGGATTCATGTTAATGAATCAGTGTGTGTGTGTGTGTGTGTGTGTGTGTGTGTATGTATGTGTGTGTGCTATGTCTTTAGACAGAAACACATGTAAACAATACTGTGTGTTACCCTGTTGTTGAAAACTGTGACCAGAGGCTTACAGAAATCTAAACCTGTAAATCCCATAGATATAATAGTTTAAGTAATCTCTAATTCAGTGACCACAGCAACTTTATAGACTATAATTACTGCAAATAATAAGACTTGATTATCATGATGCTAAATTTTTTTTTCTTGATAAAATTTTATGTCAACTTGAAACAAGCTAGAGTCATCTGGGAGGAGGAACCCTCAATTGAGAAACTGTCTCCATAAGACCTAGCTATAAGGTATTTCTTTAATTAGTGATTGCTGGGGGGGCCAGTCCATTGTGGGTGGTGCCATCCCCGGGGTGGTGGTCCTGGGTTCCATAAGGAAGCAGACTGAGCAAGTCATAACAAGCAAGCCAGTAAGCAGCTCCCCTCCACGGCCTCTGCAAACAGCTCCTGTCTCCAGGTTCCCACCTGATCAGAGTTCCTGCCTGACTTCCTTTGATGGACTGTAACTCAGGATGTGTAAGGCAAATGAACCCTTTCCTTCTCAAGATGCTTTTGGTCATGCGTTCACAGCATTAGGAACAACTATACACTGTAAGTCCCCCAAACCATCTTTTGCTTTATTTTACATGATCAAGTATCTTCAAAAAACATCTAAAATAGTGCTGGGATTAAAGGCGTGCACCACCACTACCCAGCCTGAACAGTTGTTTCTAATGGGAACATAAACACAACACTGGCTACTCTGTCATTCCCAATACTAGAAATCAGAAAAATCCCAGGAAGTTTGCAAGCATATCCATCATTCTACCTAGTGGTCAGTGTAAAAGGCTGGAGGACAAGCTGGGCATGGTGGCATATGCCCATGATCCCAGCTCTGAGGCAATGAAGAAAGGAAGACTACAAATTCAAGACCACTCTGGAATACAAAGCAAGACCATGTATCTAACAGTTGAGGAATAACATTTGAAGAGCCTCAACAAATGTTTTTTTTCTTTGTTTGTTTTGTTTTCTCTCCACAACTGGGTTTGTTTATACCTACAGGGCTTTTGTTCTATACTTTGTAAAAACTATTATTAATGTTCTTTTCAGCAAAAACAAACTGCATATTTCTGTTTTCAATGTTTCAACAACCTTTAAGTTCTCTGAAAGCGGTAATGATGTAAGTAGACAACCTAATTCACTTCCCTTGTTCACATCAAGACTCGTGTTAAAGGTAACATGTGTATTTTGTAGCACAGATTGACTTAGCTTCTTAGATCTCTAGTCTATTGCCCCAGTTAGAATACAGTCCGAGTGTTAGTATTCAGGCACCTGTACTGCCCTGTACTTGGGGTTCTGACAGGGATACACCCTCAGCTGCAGACACTAAGAGCACCACCTGTGCACACTCACTACATTCCTTTTTTTACAGGGCCCTGCCCACCTCCCATCTTTCTCTTTCTCTCTGCTTCCCTGCCTCTCTCTCTTCTGCTGCTCCTGTCTCCAGAGGCCATTCTCTTCCCCTCTTCTCTCTGCTGTTCCCATTCCTTTCCCCCTAATAAAAATCCTCCATGTGAGCTCTGTCACATGGCATCTTCTTCTCTCATGCCACTTTTTAAAATTATAACACCGAGGGCAGAGACGATCATGCCTCTGTGCATCACTCACAGAAGCTAACATATTCTAAAATCCACAAGACGTACCTGTTAATTGCCTGTACTGTTTTTGTTCCCACTGCTATATGTCTCTATTCCTAACCAAAAATAAAAAACGGCGGCACAGGACTGAAGGAAAAAGGGAGCATACTTGAGTGTGTCCTTCGTGCTGACGCCCACAGCAAGCTCCTGCAGCTGGCAGGTCAGCTTCTCCAGAAGACCGTACTCCTCCTCCTTTCTCTTCTCATAGTTCCCCACAGGTGCAGATTCATCGGCCTGTAAGAGAATAGGGACCTGTTTCATTGGAAAGCCAACTCAAGGTCCCCTAAATATATTTTCTTTAAAAGGACAGCAACAGGGCTAGAGAGATGGCTCAGTGATTAAGAGTGCTTACTGCTCTACCAGAAGAAACAGGTTTGATTCTCAGTATCCATGTGACAGCTCACAACTGCCTATGATTCCAGTTTCAAGGCATGCAATGACCTCTTCTGGTCCCTGAGGGCACTGCAGACACAGGTGTCACATACAACCAGGTGGGCACACATTCATACACATAAAAATTTTAAAATAAATAAAAGAAGCCAGAAGTGATGGTGCACTTCTTTAATCCCACTCAGGAGACAGAGGCAGGTGGACCTCTGAATTTGAGGCCACTCTAGTCTACATAATGAGTTCCAGAACAGTCAGAACTATACAGTAAGAACATATCTCAAAAACCAAACAACCTCAACAATCAAATAAGTAACAACTAAACTCCAATAAATGCTATAAGACAAGATTATAATTGCCTTAGAGAATAAGAGGTGTTGATTGATTTGGAATTCAAACCAAATAAAAAATAAAATCATACAACTCAAACATTTTTGGGTTTCCTTGTTTCCTTGTTATGTATTCCAGATCTTGTACAGTCAGTATGAAACAGGTTTTGGTAGTAAGAAAATAAAAAAAAGAGAAAAAGAAAAAATAGAAAATGGGTATAGACAATCATAGAAAAATAGTTTAAATTTGTAAAGAAAAGTCTTTAAAGAGAAAGTAAAGTAATATAAAAGCCACATAAAGATGGGAAATACACAGGGTGTCTGGAACCTGTATGGTGCTTTGTTTTTTGAATTTTTTAAATGCTAATGTACAAAAATCAATAGCTGCTGAGAGACATTGGATTATGAAAACTGCTAAATTAAACCAACCTATAAACTTTAAGAATGTCTTAACTTTAAAATGAAAGTAAAAAAATATGTTGTGTTTAAGGAGAGGTTATGCCTTTGTTTCCACAGGAAACAAAAGGTTATGGTTCTCTTCAAAATTAAAAAAGATCAGATTTGATCAGGGGAGACCTGAGGATCTTGGCTATGGACATGAGGAAAAAAGCTAAGAAAGACTACAGAACAGATGACATATATGCTGACCCTCCAATGTGGGAACAGCTTTGAGACTGGATGAGACGTCACAAATCTTGATGGCTACAGAGTCCTCATAACTTACTATTACATGTCATCCTTTCATATGACATGGATAGAGGTTTCGTTACACAGTACAAACTTATAAAGTTAACAGATGCCTTTTACCTGCTCAAACATAGAACAATTATCTTTAGTTGATTTGTATATACCACACATTCCATACTTGTTTTAATGCAGATATATATGTTACTTTTAAAAGTTGATGTGGATGTGTTTTCGGGAAAAAAAAAAAAAAAAAAAAGAAGGACCAGATACCAATGAAGAGAAGTAGTCCAGGTGATCCAGCCTCTCAGAATGCCTGTTAGTTTTCTCAAAATGCTTTATCCAGAACAACTTCAAAGCTGCTAACTGAGATGGCCTAGTTTCACAGACTATCCAGTCAAGCTCTACACTTTCCCATCACACAGAGACTAAACAAAAAATAATATAGGTAACTCTCACAGTGTGGGAAGCCACAGCCCCAAGATAGCGCCTGGTTGGATGCCAGGTAGTCTGAGCTTAGCTGTAAACAAGCCTTATTTGGAAGTGCTTGATGGATCTGGTGCACTTTCTCCTTCTATGGCCTATCTGGGATCGCCAGGTGGTATGAGCTGATTGGGCAGTGAGCACACATTTAAGGGCTTGCTGGGGCTCGGGGAAGCAGAAGCTGGTGTACAAGGTTCCTGAATAAACTGCTTGAAGAAGAGTCATGGTCGTGTTTCCTTGCTGGCCGAGGTAGCCGCGATGTCACAGGACTTCACCATTATCCCAATTTTCTCAGGGTCCCTTGAAGATGCCATTACCCACAAACAACAGGAACTATTCTGGAGAACTGCCCACATTCCCAAGAGGTGTAGTGGATGATTTTTGTTTATCTGGTGGGTTATGAATATTTATCATTTACGGCAACTGGTTGCCAACTGTTACTGGTCATGATAAGGAGGGAAACTAAACAAGGGAGGCTGGATTCAAGGATCTCTTTCTAAAAGAGAAAAAGAGGGATATAGAAATGATAGGATAAAAGGGTAGATTATTGAATCTACTTTAAACTAAAAAAAAAAAAAAAAAAAAAACCAAAAAACTACCTCAAATATTTTAGATTGGTATGGATTTTTGTATACTGCTATAAACTTAAGGTTATTTTTGTTAGAACATACTCTATATATGTTTCTACTCTTGTTTAAGGTATTTTTTATATTGCTACAAATTAGAACATACTCTATATATGTTTCTATTCTGATATTTTTGTATATTGATACAAATTTAAGATTATTTTTGTTACAATGTACATATGCTACTATTCTTGTTTAAGGTATTGTACCTATGCAGCTCATTTAAAAATGTAATGTATAATTAAGAAATATAGGTTAGTAGTTAGTCACCTGTAATAATCAAACTTGTAGTCATGTCAGATATGTTTTCAAGGTTAAACAAAAATATTTTTAATAGTATTCAAACACTTCAGAGACCTATAGAATATGGCATTTAAGATGTTTTAATAATCTAAAGCCCTTCATGCAATGAGACATGTCTGTTTCTGGCAGCATCAATTTACTTCAGAGAAGATGATGGACATCAAAGAACCTCCATATGGAGTTTGCTTTCATTGTGTCAAAGTTAGCCATTGGGCAAAGAAACTGTTCTTACCCTGATTGCTGACAGTATTCGGGTAAAACTGCACAAGCAGGACACAAAGGAAAAAGATTATTGAACTTTGCCAATACAAGGTGGGATAGTCCTTCAGAATTCTTGCTTTACAGAAAAGTCTGTCAGATATTCTAGGCCTGTAGGCTAAAGATGGATGACCCAGTGTTACAGTGGAACCTTGGGTGACTGTCCAGGCAGACACATGTTTCTGTCATTTCTGTAGTTGTGGAAGCTATTTGATTCCTACTTCCTGTTTATTAAGGTAATATTATATTCTTCTGGTGTCTTTGATGGAGTTGAAGACTCCAGTTTTCCTAGTTACCAGATTCATAAAAGAAACTCACAAAAGAGGTATAAAGTGTATGCTATAAGGTTGAGAGACATAAAAGTGTAAATTGTTTGTCTAAGAAAATGTTTTTGAGATCTAAAAAGATAGTTTTAGGATAGTGATACAAGTTATGATAAAAAGTGGTTTAGGTGTAAAACTTTGGACTCATCAAGATAGGGCAGATAATAGCGTGTTTTCTCTGAAGTTACAAAATACAAATGAACTGGACCATGTAAATGATAATTGTTCTTATTGCATATAGTTTGGCTGTTTTAGAGTTAAAACCATTCCTTTTCCCTTAGACAAAAAGGGGAAAATGTTCCGAGATATATGAATAAACTCTGGACAGATGTGTCACTGTGACTGGTTTAATAAAAGCTAAATGACCAATAGCTAGGCAGGGAGAAGAGTGGAACTTCTAGGCAGAGAGTAACTGGGGACAAGTCTCAGCACACTGGAGATGCAGAACAAGTCACAGGTACAGAATAGAAGAAAGGTAAAAAGCCACATGGTAAAACAGATTAATAAAAGCAGGCTAATTTAAGTTACAAGAGCTAGTGGAACAAGCCTAAGCTATAAGCCAAGGTTTCATAGTTAATAATAAATCTCCAGGTCATTGTTTGCAAGCTGGCAGTCCAAAGAAAAATCCATCTCCAGCATTCCTCTGTGGCCTCTGTTTGTTTATGCCTCTGAGTTCCTGCCTAGAGCTCCTGTCCTGGCTTCTCCTGACGATGGACTGCAAACCATGAGTTAAATAACTTTCCTCCTGGAAATTGGTTTTGGCCACAGTGTTTATCACAGCAACAGAAGCAAACTAGAACAGCAATTCAGAGCTGACTGGTTAGACTTCCTCTCTAATGCAAACCAGGAACTTCCCAACTAAAATTCATTCCCACGTATAGTATTCGTACAAAATGAGAGCTCTGTGATTATCATACTTACCTTGTTTAATTTTTGAAGAGCATTTTTACTTTCATCTACTGCCTGTTTTAACTGGATGCATCTAAAATTTTTTAAAAGATAAAGTAGAAGTCAGTTGTGTACTGTCAGAACTAGGCAATTATTTTCATTAAATCATTCAGTCTCTGAGTGGCAAGGCACACTGTTCACCTAAAATGCAGTTTGTCACATGAAGACAGCGGAACTTACTATGCCGAGCAAAGACAAATGGCTTTTACAGATTTATGATCAGGTCACCAAATCTGGACTCTTCAGGGTAATTCTTCCTAGGCTGCTGAGATTCACTCTGAGCAGTTTCTACAGCTACTGTGAGGAGGACGTCAAGTCCATACTGTCAGGTCCTTCCAGATCTGTGCTACAATCTCATGCAAATTCTAGGCTCATCACCAAAGATGCAGCTATGCCTTCTCTCCCTTCACAGAACTCATGCCCTAAAACATTTGTATTGTCTTCCTACTTCAACGTCTAATTTGATTTTCTCATTCGTGTTAAGGCATCTCACAGTGTTATTGTGAAGATGAATGAAGAGTTTGCATCGTATCTAGTATGAGGCTTAGCAGTGCTATCCTTACCTTCTCCGTTAAAAATGAGACCCGTTGAAAGTGATTTTTTAACATGTTTTTGAAGTTTACCCACTGTTACTTCCACGTTATTCTCCTTATTATTTTATTAGGGGAAAGGAAAAGAGTAAGAGTTGGGGTGGGAGTGAGCTTCACTGTTAAGTCTCTAAGCAGCCAGCACCTCCGGCACAGAAGTGCAGCCCTGAAGCGCGTGAGCAGCACACCTTACCTTTGGTAAATGTCTCTCCTTTTACTCGGTTCCAGAGCACCTGTCAGTTGGCTTTCAGTAACCAAACTATCAACCTACGACAAATGGAGACAATTTCAGACATCATGTTAATTACTGTATAGTCTTAGAAAACAGAATTTTACTAGTCTTCCCCCCCCCAATATATAATGAACAGTTTTGAACACGGGCATACAATAAAGAAGAATTTTATAGCAAATACCACTACCTGGATCCTATTAACATCTTATTATACACGTTTGTTTTAATCTAGCCAGTTCTTTTTCCTTGCAAGTCACCAATACACTGTCCTCAAATGTTATACTATTGGCCTCACTAGCTGAAGTTCACTGCTTCATGTAAAATTTGCATGTGGAGAGGGAACATCTGAAGCACACATTTACTGCCCCTTAACAGATAGATGTGTACGCGGTACACATCAAACCTTATCAAGATAGAGTAAGATGCTCTGAAAAGTGACTTTATTTCCTTCCCAATAAATCTTCACTCCATTTCTCCTGAGATAAACCTCCCCATTCACTTTCCCAGCACAAATGAGTTTCCCACCCACGGACATTTCTGTAAAGGGGGTTGGCTAGCACAGTTCTGTGTAAATCTCCTGTACCCCATGTTTTTTGAGGAAGTTCACATATGTCTTGGTTTATTCCTTACTGCCAAGTAAGACTTGCGGTCTTGACTGTACTGGACTTTCTCCTGACAGCACTTTGCAAGCACCCTCTTTACCTTTGTTCTTTGGCTTTTCTGCAGGGTATGTGGAAACGGCAGTGTCGGGGAGGGGAGACATAAAATCACACTAGCTTCCTCTTCATTCTTGCTGTTAGGTGCCCAGAAGAGTGCAATTAAAAGTCACCCCCAGTGGCAGGGCCAGCCATCAGAGGCATGGCCCAAATGACAGGTGATTCCTTGTTCTGAGGACACTGAGATAGAAATCTATTCTGGGTTTTCCCTTCAGGTATCCCAGTGGGAACAGGCAAAAACTAACAACAGCCAACACTATCAACATGTCCTTTCCAGACATGTTAAAGGGCTCCTCACCCTGAACTTGTCATTACAACCCAAAGACCATTATAGAAACCCACAGAATGCAGAGTTGTGCAGCCCAGTTCCAGCTGATACATCTACAGCACAGCTCCCGCTCCTAAGGCTCAGGGAACATTTCAGAAAGTGGGGACGGAAAGATTTCAGAAACCAGAGGAACAGTAAGTTTGCTGTGAGACAGTGGCTCCTACACTGATGAAGTCTCACCAATATGGCTGCCAGAACAAGACCCAAACAACCAGAGGACACCAATACAAATGCTAATGTGAAAGGGATAAAGCTCAGAGGCCTCAACTACAGACAACTAAGGAATTCTGAGACTTGGAGAATTAGTTTGTCTCCAGAGAAGAGTAATACCAAATGGTCAGCTATGAAAATACATTCATGCAAGTAACATTATACAGACTGAGTAGGCTATATTTATATTTTTGGAACACACACACACAGACAACAATGATTAAAGAAAAAGATGTAAAGAAAGAATGGGGGTAGAGGAGATGGGTGATGGTGGTACATAGGAGGATGGGGGAAGGAAAGGGGAGGGGTAATTAAAATCTCAAATATATACATATATAATTTAAATAAAAAATATATAATTTAAATCATACAGATAGATAGATAGATAGATAGATAGATAGATAGATAGATAGATAGATAGATAATTTAAAAAGCAGGGCTCCTGAGCCCATCTGTCTCCAGATCAAATAACCCTGAAAATAGTAATTGATAGTTTCCTGCTGAAAGACTACATTACCCAGCTTTTCCTTCAGCCTGGGGAAGTCATTTCTACCTCAATAGGGACCCATGTCATCTACTGTACACATGGGTGACAAAGATGCCCCCCCCAGTTGTGAATAAACATGGTCTCACCTGAGAAATCCAAGCCTATCTTTCCAACTGCTTTGAATAACTTACATAATGGTGCCAAAACCCAGGTTAGGACATCAGAGCCTACCAGCTACTCAAGCCCACCCATGGCCAAGCCTCCCTGGCTCTCGTATGGTCCCTGGCCCCGGGCTTACATGGCCAGGCAGGGCTACCTGTTTCTCTCAAGCACTCTTTTCTTTCACTCTCTGTCTTTCCCCTTCTCTCTCACCTTACTGTCTCGCCCTGACACAGCCTGACTGGCCCTGTGGATTCTAACCCTGGGACCCTAATGGCTGGGGACAACCCTTTCCAGGCGTGCTTGGTCATTTCGAGACCTTAGAGGCTGCTCTAAGAGGCTGGATATTGACCCCTGTTCTTGCCTGTGTCCCTCATCCACCCCACATTTCCTGTAGAATAGAAACCAGCAATTCTCCTTTGGTGAATTTTAACTTCCTATGTTAGTAATTCTAAGTTCATTGACTGTGATTTTAAAAGGATGCTTAGACAATCTTGATTTGCTGTAGCATACCATGTATGTAACCTGGCTTCAACTTTTGTTTAGGAAAAGGGTAGTATTTTAGAAAAAAAAAGTTTTTTTCTAAACTCTTGTTTAGAAAAAGAGCCTAAGGGACTCACCTTTGAGTACCATGTGGCTTGCAGCCATCTTGGCTGGTGACCTCCTCAGGATGGGAACATGCCATGTAACTTCACCACCAACTTGGTTAAGGTGATCATGTGATATCCCTCTACTTATTATTGTATCCCCTTTTCTACTCTAAAGAGGTGACACTAGGCTTCTAAGATGCATTGTTTCAAAGCAGTGTCTTGAATATATATATATATATATATATATATATATATATATATATCAACCATTTGCACTTTGCCTTACACATTACCCTGCCCTGTTTCCTTCTACATATTTTATGTATAATATACAAAACAAATGGCATTGAAGTTGCGTGTATTCCATTTTACATTCTTTTTCCTATTTACATTTATTTAATTTATGTGTGGAGGAGTGTTTTGCTTGCATGTATGTGTATGCCTGAATCAGGCATCAGCTCCTCATGCGTTAGGCAGCTGTGAGTCAGCGTGCGGGTGCGTGCTGGGAGCTGCTAGGGGCCTCTTGAAGAGTAGCCAGTGTTCTCAGGCACTGGACTGGGCCATCCATCTCTCCAGATCCTTACATTCTTTGGCTAACTTGGTATCTTATCACAAATATTTACCCCCAAACACCAAAAGCTTTAGCAAAAATCTCCTCAGCACTATCAGATTCCATCAGACAATACTAGGTAGGTAAGGAATTGGAAATGACATCACTAAGGAAAACTGCAGCCCCATTTGGTAGCTGTGTCTCCTGACAGTCAGAATGCCCCTTTGTGGTTAAACATTCTTGAAGCTGAAGTTAGATTGTTCCTGTTATAACAGAACTATGGAGGCCAGAACACTATTTTAGTTGCCACACATGTACCACAGCAAAGTGCTGTGTCCTAGGAAGAACCAGACTTCATTATATTACCTACACTGTAATTCTGACACTCCCCTCCACCATACATGCACATTTCTAGAGGATCATCATCAGAAATACCCTAAAACGATAGCCCCGTCAACCATGATTTGGGAGAGAAAGAAGGCCATGGATATGCCACGCATGTCATCAATATCGACTAAAACTTCTTTAAAATCTACAACAGGAGGTCCCCTAGGCTTTTCTCTCCGGCTCCTGCAGCCCACTACAGTCTCTTCGGAGCAGATGCTTTGTTTTGCTATATAAACTTGTTTAAGCTTTATGTCCTGCCACTAAATCCTTTCCCTCAAGGCAAGAACTGAGAAGCCCTGTACAACAATAATCCATCTATGGAACAGCTAGCTATACACCCCTAATATCGATCATTTATTCATATCCAGTTTTTCTAATATAAGCAAAAAAAAAAATGTGAACACTTTTACATATCCATCTTTGTCCCAATTGTAAAGTATTATATATGGGAGATTCCTGAGAATGTAATCAACCAGCTAGGAGGATCAATGTTTGCTATAGCTTGTCAAACTGCTGTCCAGAAATGTAGGTTATACACAGCGCATCGCCTGTTTCATCGCGTCTTCCCCAGGACTGGGTGTTATGACTTAAAATCTTTACGATCTTAGTTAGCTCTTTTGTGGGTGCCTGATTACCTTTGAAATTAACTTTTCTTAAGTTACTAATCTTCAGTCCTTGGCTCGTTTATCGGATTTCAGGTATTAACACTATTCGTTGACACCTGTTACACTAGACTTTGAGAAAGCGATGACTTTCAAAGGAGAGTGATGCAGGACTGGGGTGGATCGGGCTAGTTTAGACATGGGTGAGAGGGGTAAAAAGGGGGTTGAGGACTGAGATGTTAGCTGACTCGCAAGGTTTTCTAGAGGTTTTGTCTACAGCGGAGGTCGGAGTTAGAACGCTGCCGCCGAGCGCTCGGGTCCTGGCGAGGGGCTGGGATGTGGGGTCCCCTCCTATGCACCTACCTGCAGCTTAAGCTCCTGCCCGCGGCGCCTGAGCGCCTGCAGCGGGTCCCGCGGCCGCCGGGCGAGCATTGGCCTAGCAGCCGCCGGCGGGACCGCGCCGGTTGCCAGGGAAACCAAAGCGGGAGCTCAGCAAGATGACGTTATCAGCAGGCGCCGCCACCCCGCGCTACAGGATTCGCTAAACGAACTAAGAATCGCTGCTCTGGATTCCTAAGTGTGGGGACTTACCACGGAGCCTCCAGACTGCGCATCTCCTCACTATCACGACCTCGTACCGTGCGGTGCTCTGTTCGATACAGCTTTCCGACGCCTGTCTTGCTAATCTAACCTTTAAAATTAAGCATGATAAACTCCCTAGCAACGAGAGCTTTCCTGTGGCATTGTGGGACTCTGTTTGGCTGCAGACTGTCATCCTATGGGCGGTTTTATTATTATCTTTGAAATAGTCTCACAGTTATAGCCCTGCACTCAGATATCCGCTTGCCTCTCTGCCTTCCTAGTGTTGGGATTAAAGGCATGTGTCATCATACGTGGGCCTAGAGGCATTTTTAAATTCTCGCCTTTTGGGGTATTGCTTAAGTGTCTCCAGAGATTTCATGTAATCCATCCTGAATTCTATGAAGGTGGCGATTCTATCGTGTGCGGCAAGCCTATGGGCAAATTGAGGTTTTTCAAAAGCACTCACATTTTTGTTCACTCTTGGGAAAGGTGGTAGTATTTCCCCTGAGTGAGACTCAATCCTCTAAATCCAATTCCCAAACTCCACCACAGCAACCCTGGATTTAGGAATGGTGATGACCCAAGTTCAACAGTTGATGTGATATGTCATTCCCAAGGTATCGATCGCTATCGTGACTCCTGGCTCTCTACTGATTCCAATTTGACTAAGATAGACGTACCATCTCCTTGGAAGACTGCTCTCCAGTGTGGGAGAGGAGGCGACTTCATACATTTAAGTAAGAGAAGGAAAAGAATGTTGACATAATGTCAAAGGGGGATGGTCCACTACAAGGCTAGGGACACAGGGCATACAACATGAACAGGTAGTAGTAGAAAACAAGAGTAGTATGGCATAGGACACCAACATGTTTTGAGAGGGATGCCCAGAGGTGACACAAAAAAGGACGAGTGTACCTGGATGCTGCACATAAGCAATAGCTCAGTGGTTAAAAGTATTGACTGCTCTTGCCTAGGACCCCGGTCCAATTCCCAGCACTCACAAGGCATTTGGATTCCCTGTACCCATGTAAGTGACAATAGGAGTTGCAATCCCTATGACAAACTTTGGGTCTACTCTTACATAATCATACATGCACTTTCATACATGTGAACATACAGGTATGTACTATACACACACAAGGAGAAAGAAAAGGTGGAGGGCAATCTAGATAGGCACCTGAAGCTGACCTCTGGTCCCCACACAGATGTACACCACAATCACCCACAGGCAAAAAAAAAAAAAAAACCCTACTTATTCTACCTCAAAGAGCATCAGTTAAGTTGAGGGATGTGGACAAGAAAGCTTCAGCTAACTAAACAGGATGGAGCTCTAGGAACTAACATTGCAGGGCTTGGTGGCTTCACCAAGTTAAAAATAAACTTGAATGAAGAATGCACTTTCTGAACTTTCTTATGTTAAAAGGTCTGAGACACAAAACTGATTTTCTTAAAAATGAGGACAAATGCATCAGAAAAACATCTTACAAATAGACAACCAGGGACTTGGTCACTTGATATGATTGGCATTTATCATTAAACTCTAGTCAAAGGTTTCTCTTTCACATGTACATTCCACATTAACACATGAGGAAGTTTTACACTCAACCCTCGCAGCAAACTTTCATTCTTCAAAGTGCAAATATCTTACATCTATAATGTTTACTTCAGCCATTTGCCACAGCTCCTATTTTTTCTGACCACATCAAGAAATATGACCCACAATGGTCCCCAGATGATATCTGCCTCGAGGTTGTCCCAAGGATGTGAACGATTTTTGTGAGAAGGCCTCTGCTTTCAGGGTCCAAATCTCTTGCTGCAGCAAACTAAACGGTAGGCAAAATACTCCTTTCCTTTGTGAGGAGCGAAAAGATTTAAAGATGTTTACATTCTTTATTTTAAAAATAGATTCATAAAGTGCAAGAAATGATTTCTTTCCAGTGCTTTATATCCATCTTCAATAAGCTGTTGAAAAACAGAAAGGAAAAAAAAAATCAGTAACACACAATCTTTAACTTCAAATTACTGTACTGTGACGACGGTAAAACACGAAAACTACAGCGTTGATGAATAGAGATGATGAATCGCAAGGCTCCTGACGCTCACTATCTCTATCTGGCTACCAACAACTTAAAGACTTTGCAAAAATATCAAAGCCACCCGTGGACCCATTAAAAATGAATTTGGGGGATGGGCGTGAAATGCTTCACAGTTCCATCTCTCTTCCCCCCCCCCATTTTTATTTCTGTCCAGTAGTCTCCATTTCGAAGTTAAATAGTAAGGTGCAACTGCATAGCACGTGGTAAAACATTCCCATTAAACACCCTCAGTAAACTGAGCTGTAACACTGCAAGAGTAATTAGAGAAGACAACTATTGTCTCTCTGAGGTCTAGGAGCAAGTCACGTTCCTGCAAGCCACGCTAGGGCAACCCGGGACTCCCGGGGCGAGTGATCGCGCGGCTCACCCAATCCTGGCCACTTGGGCTTGAGGAGTGGGGACCCGGCCGGCTCGGGGCTCGGGCCGCGGCGCGCGCTCAGGCCAGGTCCAGCTTCTTCTGAGTTGTCGCTAGCTTGTCCTGCAGCCTCCGCTTCCTCCAGTCCAGGTAACGCCTTCGCAGCCGATTCGCCTGCCAGCCCAGGACCACTCCAGAGGCGAAAGCCACTAGCACGGACACCTGCAGGGTCCTCTCAGACACGTCCGCCATTGCAGCCACCCGGTATGGCGAGTAGACTACGGAATGGCAAAGGGACCAAATAGGGCAGTGCTAGCTCAGGAACGCTAGGAGCATGCGTGAGGCAAGGGAGCAGCATCCTGCGGCTTTTGGGTCAGGGGAAACTGACCAGTACAGGGTCTCACCAAGCTGCAAGACTGTCTTGATGTCTGGATAGGCTCCGCATTTCTTCCACATTTCTTGTTTGACATTAGTCAGACATTGCCTTGCATCATAGATGAGCTGGTGTCATGTACTCCTGTTCGTTTTCTTCGCAGCTGAGTAAGTTTTTCTGGTAACTTGATTTTAAAGTAGTAAACAAGTAGAGAAAAATTTTAATGATATATTTATTTTAAATGAACATATGTAAGCGAATTGCAGTGCACGTTATCATGTCAATATGTACCCAGCTTCCAAGTTACTAATGCCAATGCAATAATCACAGCTTTCATCTTAAAGGAAGTAAGAGTTTGTTCTTGAGCCATTATGAGTGACCATGGCCTAGGAACACAGATTAAGTTACTCCAAACTCCATGTTCCAACGTGGAAGCAGTTTCATCAAGTTATATAGTTTTATAGAACAAAGAAAGTCATAAATCAAGGCAAGTTTAAAATACACTGGCAGTTACAGGGAATGGAGATGGCTTTTCTATAGGCCTAAGAAAGCACACGTTTGAATCAATGCCTTGACTAATACAATCAGAACAGATAATTTGTTTTGTTTTCAAAAATAAATACCTAATTGGGGTCTCCCCAGGTGCATATGCACTTACCTTTTTATAGCAAGGCGAGTGTGAAACCAATTATGTGTCACTGATAGAGGAGTTAGATAGAGGAGGTAGATAAATACGGATGTAAATTTGGGCAAGAAAACCAAGAGTGTCAATAGAAATTAACATAATTTAAAATAGCCATATCAAGAGAGCATCATGAAGTTTAACAGATAAACACTGGAAGGTTTTGCACTGAAGCAGAAGAATGTCCAGTAACACTCCACTGTGATTTAACATAAAAAACGGGAATGATACATACTGCTTTCATAAAGATAGTAATATAGTGGCAGGTGGTGACATACATTTTTAATCCCAGCACTTGGGCGGCAGAGGCAGATGATCTCTGAGTTCCAGGATAGCTAGGGCAACACAGAGAAATCCTGTTTTGAAAAAAAAAAAAATCAAAATAAAACCCAACAAAACCAATCCCCCCCCCCCCAAACAAAAAGATAGTAATAGGGAAACTTCAAAGAGTCAACTGAAATCAACAGGCTTCATAATATTCAAACTACCAGCTAAGAAAACACAGCATGGATAGGGGCTGGTTTAAAATAAACAACCAGGAAATATAGTTCTAAATATTTTAAGTTAGTACTAATTTTTGAAAAAAAAAAAAAATAGAGGAGCCAGGCAGTGGTGGCATACGCTTTTAATCCCAGCACTAGGGAGGCAGAGGCAGGTGGATCTCTCTGAGCTCAAGGCCAGCCTGGTCTACAAAGTGAGTTCCAGGATAACCCAGGCTACACAGAGAAACCCTGTTTAAAAACAACAGAAAAAGAAGGAAAAAAATATAGGGGCCTTTTCTTTTTCAATTGAGGATAACATTTTAAGACATAAAAGTCAAAGCCCATTTAAGACCATGTCAGTTTAGGAATCAGAATTCTAAGTTCTTCACAGAAGCAGAAATCTTTATACTAGTCAAAAGACAGATGCCAATTTGGGATAAAAAATTTGAAGTTATATACAAGTCTTATAAAACAAAAGGAAAAAGAACATATAGAAAATGGACGAATAGGCTTCACTAAAAAAGAACACATACCTAGCCCCCCACCCAAAAAAAAAGTGGATATATTTGGCCTAACCTGTAAGAGAAATGCAAATTAAGACTACAAGGAAATACAATTTAGCTGGCAAATCAACAAGTGAAAAGCCTGATGTATGTGGTAATGGCACAGGAACAAGGCGTTTTGGACCCTGTCAATAACCACCATGATAGCTAGTTACAGATATTCCCAGTATTTGGGAGGCAGAGGCAGGAGGATCTTCATGAGCTCCATGCCAGACAGGGCTACTTAAGGAGGCCCTACCTTAAACAAAAAGCAATGAGCTCCATGCCAGACAGGGCTACTTAAGGAGGCCCTACCTTAAACAAAAAGCAAAGTAAAGCAAAACCAAAAGAACAACAACAAAACACAGACATGGACAAAAAAACTTTCTGACTAGAACTCCATTAGCATAGAAAAGGAAACCAGCAGAGTGAAGAGAGAGCTTACACAGCGTGGGGAAAAACTTTCCCAGCTATGTTTCAGACAGGGATAAATATGTAAGATATTCAAAGGACCTAAAAACCAAATGCTCTCTCACACACAATCTGCCAGTCAATAAATGGGCTAAAGTAAATGTTCCTAGAAGAAACAATGGCCTTTAAGTACTCAAAAGAGAGCATCCAATATTCTTAGCTATGAGGGAAATGGCACCCAAAACTACTTTGAGTCCTTCTCCTCATCAGAACATCCATCACTAATAAGAGACAAAAATGCTAGTGAGGATGTGGGGAAAGTAGAACCCTTTATTCTTTGCTGGTTGAAATGTATCTTCATATGGCCATTGTGGGGGATCAGTGTGGCAGTCTTTCAAAAAAGTGACAACACAACTGATTATTGACCTAGCTATCCCATTCCTGGGTATACAAAGGAGTTTACCTTCTACCAGAGAACTCCAAACATCCATATTGATTGTCCCTCTGTTCACAATAGCAAGGAAATGGAACCAGACTAGATGTCTATCAACTGATGGATATGTAATGAGAATGTGGTATCAAACAGAAGGGAATTCTATTCAGATGTACATCATGAAATTTGTATGAAAACAGGTGGAGTTAGAAAGCCTAAATAACACAAAATATGCTCTCATATGCAGACCCTAACTTATAATGTTTATATGCATATAAGTGGGGTCAACAGTATCTGTAGGCTATGAAACTAAAAAGACCTTGAGAAGGAAATAAAGATGTTGAGGTAGGAGGAAGGGACACGGACAGATGAAACATGAAAGCAGAAAGTAAGCAATGGGGGAAGGTGTGTTATATACAAAGGGGTCAGAAGGATGGGGAAGAAAAACTAACAAAAACAAATTTTGTCTTACTGTGCCATAATGAATCCTAGTCCTACTTATGCTAATTAAAGATGAATTTTAAGTACTTGCCTACTTTGGACTTAAATAGCTCCATAATAAATGCTAGAAAGCATTTAAACTTAAATCATTCCTCAATGAAAACTTGTACACAAAGAGCAGCCCAACTGATTAGCATGCTTTACATGGGTCTCCTTACTTTGTCAATTTTGTTAGAATATTTATAACTAGGTCACACAGGTATAGCTTATGGACTTTATTTTTGAAATATATAAATAAAAGTGTGAAAAAAATAGGATTCAAAGTGGGAGGGAGTTTAAAATTACAAAATGTATTTTGGATAAGGTCCAAATCCATATTTTATTTTCTCATCCGCTTATATTCTGAGAGCAGCACAATTAGCCTATTACGAAGGGTCTTAATCTTGTTGGAATACTGTTGTTCAAATACTGTCTTCATCTTTTGTCTCAACAAATCCAAAGATGGAAGATGATGACAATCCGAGATATTCAACATGATGTGAAAGAATTCCTCCCACATATCCAAATGAGGAAGCCTGACAAGATAAAATATCACAATGAAAAACATGCAACCTTCAACATCCACAGCAATCTGTTTCTGCATCTATTTTCCACAGGTGTGGACATGTTAAAAGAACAGCTCTCACTTGCATCTTAGCAAACCAAGAATTCATCACAAACAGAAGGAATTAAAAAATCCAACCAAATGTCTAAATATACCTTGTTCTAAAAACACAATTTAAAATAGTCTTTTATCAATAGTTCTTCAGTAGAAGAATCACCTTTTAAAGAAAATATATTTTCTTTTGGCTTTCTGTGTACACCACACTGCCAGAATCTGATGATATAGTTACTTGATTCTGATAAGCCTAATTGCATATATGTCAAGATATCTGGATAGATAGGCTGCATTCTTTAGTATAGAGCTCACAATTAAGGGTCTTAGCCTCTTATAGTGGTTGAAGTTAACTTAAAAACAAAAAAACAAAACAAAACAACAACAACAACAAAAAAAAAAAAAAAAAAAAAAACACCCTCCAAAACAGGAAGAGAAGGCCCTGGACTGGAGATAGAGCAGAACAAACTAAAATGTCACTCTAGGCGGAAACTGAGTAGGAAGCTTTGGGCTTTTTTCTATGCTACTGGCAATAGATGGAACCCTTCTGAACCCTCTGGTCCTTTGATAATGAGCAAGGGAAACAATAAAGTAAATAAAGTACTTGCTGAATTTGACAGCTCTGTACAGAATAAAAAAACAACTGTTGTCAATTTTCTTTTGGGTTCCTAATCTAATGTACATGATGTGTATAAAATTTATGCAAACTCTTTCCCTTTTCTGCTTTGATAATGGGTGGGGAGAATGAGGGGAAACTCAGCCTAAATTTTCTCAAGAATGAATCAACATTTAAAATTCCATTAGGCTAACACATGAGTGATTTTTTTTTTAATGTAAACATTTTTATATCTTAGAAAAGTTAAAGATTTATGGAAACATGCATGCATAGAATAATCAGCTTCAATTCAATACCACCAGTGGTATGTTTACAGATTGTGACTTTAGGGACAATGTTGACATGATAAGCTCCAAACCAAATGTTAACCTTTAAGTATAAACTAAAGTCACATAGAGCTGGAGCTTGAAACCCTGTCTTGTAATAGAAGTTATCTTACAAGAC